AGGGATTGTACTCAAACTGATGGGAATGGTATCTACCAAGGAGATCTCTTTCCCCACATACTGTTCTGCATAGGCCTGGAACCCTCTAAGCCAAGTAATTGACCAGACTGGCTATGGATACCGCCTCAGGAACGGAGCAAAGATCAGTCACCTCCTCTACATGGACGCCAAGACGAGAGAGACATCGACTCTCTGATCCAAACCACCAGGATCTACAGCCATGACATCGGGATGTCATTCGGACTCGAGAAATGTAGCAGGATGGTGACTCGGAGAGGCAAGGTAGTCCACACAGAAGGTATCTCACTCCCAGAGGGAAAAATAGTAGACGTTGAGGACAGTTACAAGTATCTCGGTATACCACAAGGCAAATGGCAACCTCGAACAGGTGACGAGGAAAGCGGCAACTGCCAAATACCTCCAGCGAGTAAGGCAGGTCCTAAGAAGTCGGCTCAATGGCAAGAACAAGGCCCGGGCAATTAACAGCTACGCCCTGCCAGTGATCAGATACCCTGCAGGAATAATCAGGTGGCCAAAGGAAGAGATTCAGACCACGGATGTTAAATCTTGAAAGCTCCTTACCATGCATGGCGGGTTCCATCCCAAATCCAGCACCCTGAGACTGTACGTAAGCCGTAAAGAAGGAGGCCGAGGACTAGTGAGTGTGAGAGCCACTGTCCAGGACGAAACATCCAAACTCCATAACTACATCATGGAGAAGGCCAAAACGGATGACGTACTCAGTGAATGTCTCAGGCAGTGGCGAGATGAGGAGGTGCTGGAGGAGAGCCCATCATGGGAGAACAAGCCTCTACACGGCATGTACCACCGGAGCATAACAGAAGTGGCTGATCTCAAGAAGTCCTACCAATGGCTAGAAAGGGCTGGCCTACAGGACAGCACAGAGGCACTCATCATGGCTGCACAGGAGCAGGCACTGAGCACCAGAGCGATAGAGGCCCAGATATACCACACCAGACAAGACCCAAGGTGTCGGTTGTGCAAAGAGGCACCTGAGACGATCCAACACATCTTGCAGGGTGCAAGATGCTGGCAGAGAAGGCCTACATGGAACGCCATAACCAAGTGGCTGGCATAGTGTACAGAAACATCTGTGCAGAGTATGGGCTGGAAACCCCAAGGTCTAAGTGGGAAACTCCTCCAAAGGTGGTGGAGAATGAGCGTGCGAAGATCCTGTGGGACTTCCAGATACAGACCGACCGAATGGTAATGGCGAACCAACCTGACATTGTGGTGGTAGACAAAGGGCAGAGGACAGCCGTGGTGGTGGACGTGGCAATTCCAAGCGATGGTAACATCCGGAAAAAAGAACATGAAAAGCTTGAGAAATACCAAGGTCTCAGAGAGGAGCTGGAGAGGGCCTGGAGGGGTAAAGGTGACAGTAGTGCCTGTGGTGATCGGTGCACTCGGGGCAGTGACCCGAAGCTAGAAGAGTGGTTACAGCGGATCCCTGGAACAACCTCGGACATCTCGGTCCAGAAATGTGCAGTGCTAGGAACAGCAAAGATACTGCGCAGAACCCTCAAGCTCCCAGGCCTCTGGTAGAGGACCCGAGCTTAGAGAGGGATAACCGCCCGCGGAGAGCCAAAGGTGAGTGGACAAAATTTTTATTTATTATATAATATATATATATATATATATTAGCTTTTTATGCTATTCTTGAGGTAGATTGCTTTTGTTTTTGCACATTAATCTCAAAATAATGCTCATCTTGAAAATGTACCATTGTCCAACATAGTTTCTGCTTCAGCTGCAACCGTCTTCTACCAGAAAGGAACAACATTTCTAGGCAGATACCATTGCCACAGATTATTTTATTCTCTGTTGATCTTGCGGTGGCATAAAAACAAAACACAATTGTGGAAAAATATTTGTTTAGTTTATCAATTACATACAGTGTCTTGCGAAAGTATTCGGCCCCCTTGAACCTTTCAACATTTCGCCATATTTCAGGCTTCAAACATAAAGATATAAAATTTTAATTTTTTGTCAAGAATCAACAACAAGTGGGACACAATCGTGAAGTGGAACGAAATTTATTGGATAATTTAAATTTTTTAACAAATAAAAAACTGAAAAGTGGGGCGTGCAATATTATTCGGCCCCTTTACTTTCAGTGCAGCAAACTCACTCCAGAAGTTCAGTGAGGATCTTTGAATGGTCCAATGTTGTCCTAAATGACTGATGATGATAAATAGAATGCACCTGTGTGTAATCAAGTCTCCGTATAAATGCACCTGCTCTTTGATAGTCTCAGGGTTCTGTTTAAAGCGCAGAGAGAACCATGAAGACAAAGGAACACACCAGGCAGGTCCGAGATACTGTTGTGGAGAAGTTTAAAGCCGGATTTGGATACAAAAAGATTTCCCAAGCTTTAAACATCTCAAGGAGCACTGTGCAAGCAATTATATTGAAATGGAAGGAGTATCAGACCACTGCAAATCTACCAAGACCCGGCCGTCCCTCCAAACTTTCATCTCAAACAAGGAGAAGACTGATCAGAGATGCAGCCAAGAGGCCCATGATCACTCTGGATGAACTGCAGATAACTACAGCTGAGGTGGGAGAGTCTGTCCATAGGACAACAATCAGTTGTGCACTGCACAAATCTGGCCGTTATGGAAGAGTGGCAAGATATCCATAAAAAGTCTTGTTTAAAGTTTGCCACAAGCCACCTGGGAGACACACCAAACATGTGGAAGAAGGTGCTCTGGTCAGATGAAACCAAAATCGAACTTTTTGGCCACAATGCAAAACGATATGTTTGGCGTAAAAGCAACACAGCTCATCACCCTGAACACACCATCCCCACTGTCAAACATGGTGGTGGCAGCAGCATGGTTTGGGCCTGCTTTTCTTCAGCAGGGACAGGGAAGATGGCTAAAAGTGATGGGAAGATGGATGGAGCCAAATACAGGACCATTCTGGAAGAAAACCTGTTGGAGTCTGCAAAAGACCTGAGACTGGGACGGAGATTTATCTTCCATCAGGACAATGATCCAAAACATAAAGCCAAATCTACAATGGAATGGTTCACAAATAGACGTATCCAGGTGTTAGAATGGCCAAGTCAAAGTCCAGACCTGAATCCAAATGAGAATCTGTGGAAAGAGCTGAAGATTGCTGTTCACAAACGCTCTCCATCCAACCTCACTGAGCTCGAGCTGTTTTGCAAAGAAGAATGGGCATGAATTCCAGTCTCTCATTGTGCAAAACTGATAGCGACATACCCCAAGCGACTTGCAGCTGTAATTGCAGCAAAAGGTGGCGCTACAAAGTATAAGCGTAAGGGGGCCGAATAATATTGCACGCCCCACTTTTCAGTTTTTTATTTGTTAAAAAAGTTTAAATAATCCAATAAATTTTGTTCCACTTCACGATTGTGTCCCACTTGTTGATTCTTGACAAAAAATGTAGTTTTTATATCTTTATGTTTGAAGCCTGAAATGTGGTGAAATGTTGAAAGGTTCAAGGGGGCCGAATACTTTCGCAAGGCACTGTATATTTTTGTTACATTTTAAACTTAAGCAATTCCCACTCAAATGTGTTATTGAAATGTTTAGTATTTCATATCCGAATCCTTTTTTTTGCCATGTGAGTAACAGGAAGTCCACAAACTAGGAAATTGTTTTGGCTCTGATATACTGATAGCCCAATGTGGCCCCCTGGAGAAAAAAGTTGCCCACCCCTGATCTAAGGAATGGCTACAGAATATTATGAAACAAGCTATAAGCTAAAAGGTCTTTAGCTGAAGCATAAACGTTTGGGGCACAGGGGTATCCAACCCTTAGGGGGTTGCTGTCGTTCACCAGAATTGTAGACAATAGGTGGTACCGAAAACAAACAGTTTTGACTGTCAGGCTGTTAGGGGTTTTTAAATTAGGTACAACATGCAGACTTTTTAAGATGATTATATTATTTGGAAAAATAAAACTAGCAAAAATAGCCCCCAAGAACTCTGAAAAAATACCAATACAATTTCCATTAGATTTTTTCATTGTTGAAAATCCTCTGTCATGAATCCCCCAGATGAACTTCTGTTGCTGACCATGTTTAGAGCTGTTTTCTGCCTTTTTTTGGCCACCGAGCCAGTCTTGTTTTCCGAATGGTAGATATAGAGCGTCTAGTTGTTTAGTTCTGTGTCTAGAAGGACAGGGAGTGATTACTGCACGTTACCTTGTCAAACCACATTCACCTCAACTACCTCAACTTGTTATGTGCATTCCTGTCAAAAGCATGTTAAAAACATGTTTTTTATGTTATTGTCTGGACCTTATTTGTGCATTATTGTTTATATGCATGCAGATAATTTCATGTGTGATACGATTAGTTCACACAATTACTCTTACATGTTTGTGTATATAATAAGAGATTATACATCTCACAGTGGGGAGAATTGACATAATATGCTTTTGATCTCACGTCAATTTTGCATTGTTGGGAACTCTTTGCCTGAAGCAGCTGAACATTTTCTCTTTCCTCTCTCCCACCCTCTACACTCTTTGTTTGGTTGTTCCTATGCATTCAAAGGGCACCTCCCAACAACTTGCTTTGACAGCTGCTGATTGGCTGCTCACTTGTGAAGGGGGCGGGCCAACTATGTGGCTTAGAGAGCTTTACCAGAGAATCTCCTGCTATCACATATCCCCAGACTGCGGCACAGGCACAAGTCAGACATTTCTGTTTGCCTCATGTCTGACTGCATTCCTACCATGCCTTTGCATCAATATTCCTTTTCTTTACTATCTCCAAGAAAACCAGACCACTAGCAAGTTATATCTATTTCTATTGTATCTTGTCTTGTTTTCAAGACGCAGATCAAGCAAATTCCCATTGCATCAACAAGAAGAGACATCAAGAGAACACAACTGCACAGAGAATCTGAGTTGATGGGACGTGTCGTGTGCCGAAAACATCCCCAGCCCTTGTTCCAGTTAGAACACTTATGCCTGTGACACAGTCGTCCGGGTCAAAGGAGAATGAGTCCGGCTGTAGAGGCTCAGGCCCGGGATGCCATAGAGGCACAGAAGAAGGAAATGCAAATGGAACAACAGCAGATCTGTGTGGAAAAAGGGGTGATGCTTGAGCCCTTTGTGCATCAGGTGGGGGGTCACTCCTGTGTGCTGCGATTCGGGGAGCAGACCCTTTGCAAGCCTCTAATCCCACGAGAGCATCAGTTTTACAAAAGCTTGCCTTCTGCGATGAGGAGGTTCACCCCACAGTACAGAGGTGAGTCCTTGTCTGCTGTCTGTTTACCGGAACAGTACAGTGCACCTGTTTAAAGGGCTGCACCAGTTACATTTTAAAAGAATATACACTTTGTACATTAATAGAACACAGATTAATGCAAGCCACAGGTGTTCATGTTGTAAAATACACATAAACAAAATGGTACGAGAAGCTCTGAGGATGCAAAAAGGTATCACTTTGTTTTTGCAGCACTCTCTAAGATCATGGTATTTGCATTGGTATCTAAATTTGTGTTTTAATAGTCACAAATAGCACTATAAATTGATTATTTTTTTCTCTGCTGGATACAAAATACCAACGTTCTAGTAAGACCAGGAGCTTGCTACTTACCTTAGCTATTAAAATAAGCATGTCGTTCAGTAGTTACTATGTCACACATCTGTGACTATATATATATAAGTGCACTGGAATTCACTTCAAAAAGACCACACATGATGTTCAATAGTAATAATTTCTTGTTTATTGTGCTGTGTGTTTCTCAGGTGTGGTGTCGGTGAGCTTTGAGGAAGATCAGGAAGGGAATCTTTGTCTGATTGCTTATCCTCTGCACAGCGATCCCGCTGATCTGGAGAACAAGGGCCCTATAACTGACGACGAGCCCAAGACAGAGTATGATAAATTGAGCAAAATGATGACTTCTACACTGCTTGTGGACAGTGAAAACTACATAGATGATCATCGCCCCTCATGTAAAGATAACGAGAAAAGGTGGGATCCTAGACATCAAGCGTAACCTGCAGCTTTGTGCCACTAGCCACATGGCTACAACTTAACGCTGTTCTGACACGCTCTACAAATTCAAGTTATCATTTGACAAATCACACATTGTCTACACACATAACCTCAGGCAACAGAGTAAGACTTAAGAGTGACTACCACTAAGTGGTTTTCGTGAAAGGTAAGCCTGGGTGTGTCTGCTCAGTTTTCTCGGTGACCCAAAAACTCGAGGCAGATTAGATATTACATTCAGGCATGCTTGTTATAAACAAACATGTGTACATTTAGTTGTAGTCTTATTACATGTACGTTATAATTGGTTGGATTGGTTCAGAATTTTATGACGTATCAACAGAGAGCCTCAAGTGCGCATAACAGCAGGAGAGTAGTGGGTCAGTCCTGGTTTAGAGCACTGGGGAAAGTCCTGTTTACACCCGTCGTTAGGGTTATAGAAAAGGGAGTTAACCTGCTTCTTCCAACCACAGTTAGAGCAGGGGACTAAAACAGGAACGGTTTAATACAACCGCAGCAGGACCACTCTAATCCTAGTGTGTCCGCTCCTGTAGCGCATCATACTGCATCGGGTAATAATAGAACATATCCACAAATAAGATTACTTTTTGGTTCTTCTATACCAGACAATAGTAAGTTAGCAATGTTATTTTACTATTTTCTGAAATATATCCACAAATGCCTTGTGTCATTTCCCGGACCTAAGGGTTAAAGACCTGCAGTCAGCCGCTGAATACCTCCTCTGCATTAAAGCTGAGGGTTCCAGATGGGTTCCGACCAGGATGGGTTCGCACAGGGCCTTTCTGAGTGGAGTTTGCATGTTCTCCCCGTGTCTACGTAGGTTTCCTCCGGGTGCTCCGGTTTTCCCTACCACTAAAAAAACATGCACAATAGGTACACTGTAAAAAATTAAAAGTTAGTTCAACTCAAAATTTCAAAGCAACCAGCTGCGAAGAATTTTTGAGTTGAAGGCATTAACTTAATTCTTCACGTTTTGAAGAACTCATTAAGTTGTGTCAGCTAAGTTTTCCAAGTTCTGCCAACTAAGTTTTTAAATTCAAGTTACTGGAAATTTCAAGTCTGTAAAAACGTACTTTTTAAAGTTCAGATTACTGTCCACTACAATAACTTACTATTTTGAGTTTCAATTAGCCCCCACTTTAAACCATCACGACGTTTATTTATATAGCGCATTTTACAGACCAAGGTCACTTGGGCAGGGGAAACCGGAGCACCCGGAGGAAAGCTATGCAGACACAGAGAACATGCAAATTCCACTCAGAAAGGCCCTGTTCTGACCGGGAACCGAACCCAGGACCACTGTGCCACACACACTGTGAAACCGATTAGTGGGGAAAACTAATGTTTCTAAGACTGACCCAGGGAATATATCGGGCTACTTTGGCTTGGTCAAATTAGTTTTTTCAAAATGTTGAATGCAGCTGGTTGCCATGACAAATATTTAAATGAGCAAACTCAGATAAGTTGACCTCACTCTAGCTCGGTGAACTGTAAAAACGACAACTCAAAATTGTTCACCTTACTCAGATTTTTGCATTCACTGACAATAAAATTTCCAGTTGGAACTGGAACTGTCTGTTGTGAGCCTCTTGAACTCACTTTCAAAAGTTCACTACAACTTCAAAGTAAAATCAACTTAATATATCAAGATGAACTTTTCATCAGAAACTTCTGAAAGTGAGTTCAAGTGGCTCACAACAGACAGTTGCAGTTCCAACTGGCAATTTTATTGTCAGTGAATGCAAAAATCTTAGTAAGGTGAACAATTTTGAGTTGTATTTTTTGCAGTTTATGAATGTAAATGAGAGAGTGAATGCATGGTGTTGATTGGGGGCTGATGCGCCAGTGTGTTCGGCGACTCGCTTCCGTCATCACCGTGTGTGGAATAATTGGAACAATATCTGAACTCTGAACATTGTAAAGCGCTTTGGGTGACCTTGGTCTATAAAATGCGCTATAAATAAACATTATTTAAAATGTATTCAAAAGTAAACTATACACCATATATAAGATACAAAATAAACAGAATTAAATTATTTGAAAAACAGGTTGGACCTGATTTAACCCAACACACAGATGACAAGACACAGGCTCAAACACTCTAATAGGTTCAAACACGTTTTTAATTCATCCGTCGAGTTGTTCCAAAGAGAGGCACAAATCATTTTTTGCTTCCTCTTCAATTGTATCTCTCAAGTCAAGTTAATTTATTTTATGTTGAAATGCACATTTAAATCTAGATAACTTAAAATGTACATTTTTATTATATTTAACTTTACATGTCTGTTGTTAAAATGCAATATGATGATAATAATAATAATAATAATAGTTGGTAGAGCATTGGCCTTTGGGCCTGGAGGTCGTGAGTTCGATTCCCACCATGGGACCTACTCCAACTGCTCCCACTGATGACTGCTGTCGTTGTGTCCTTGGGCAAGACACTTAACCCCACATTGCCTGAAGCCCCCCGCTGAAAGATCAAGGCTGTTTCACAATTGACGGAGCAGCCATCTTCCTGTGGACTCACCCCCTGCAGAAGATCAGCGAGGGACTGGTGCTATGAGCGTTGGGTGGCAGCTCTCATTGCCACCCCCCCAACCCAGAAATGGACAAAGGGGTTGAAAATGAAAAAAAATGAAATGAAATAATAATAATAATAATAATAATAATAATAATAATAATAATAATACTACATACTCATATTTCTGTTATTACGAGCTTGCCTGAATTGAATTCTTAACACACAGGCAGTAATACGCTTTTGTGAAAATAGAGTGAAATGTTCCTTGTAGTCAATAGTGTCTGTGCTCCTCAGTGTCCAGGAACGAGCAGAGGAGGTGGAGCGAGAATGGCTTCAACAGGAGGTGCTGCAGTATCAGCTGGAGCGCAGTCACAGTGACGCAGCCCCACAGCTGGAGCACAATCCCTGGAGCCTCAAGTGTCACCAGCAGAATCTGCAGAGGATGAAGGAGAACGCCAAGAAACACGACCAGTACAGTATCCTTGGCACAACAGGCTCTCAGCTTTCAATTCTGATGAGGGGAGGATAATGCTGAGGAAAACTAATTTGAATACCTCTCGTTTTTTTTATTACTAGATACTATATTTACTAATTCCTATATGCGTATTATGCATTATACTTTATAATTGACCAATGTAACCATCATAATAATGGATATTTATCAACATTTATGGACATTGGTCATCTCCCCCTTATGGACCAATGGCTCTATGTGTTTTTATCATTGCATTTCTTGTTTTTGAACAGTTTGATTCTCTGATCTGTGTTTGCAAATTCAACGGTTTTGTTAAGTCCTCCCAGATAACAACTGTTGTTATTTAGGGCTATACAAGAATAATTGTAATTGAATTTAATAAATATTTATTTTCATTGAGTAATCCTCCAGCTGTCTTGGTTCCAACCAAGCCAAGCGGGTGCTGCTCCTGACAGTGGCATTGCAGGATGGATCAATTGCAGAGGACCATTTTCCTTACGGAAACAATAAAGAATCTTAATGTTAAACTTTAACATTAACATTAAGAAAAATCAAGGAATTCCCAGTCCCATGCCTAAAAAAAACAATTATCATCACTCTTTAAGAGGATATTTTTTTGGGTGGAAATGACAAACATCTTCAAAATAGGTAGAAAACCCCCCACATTTGTAAATGTGGAGCAGGGGTTTCCAACCTTTTTCAATCGGAGAGCTACTGCTACACAACAGAAAAGGCAGAGAGCTACTCCTTTTTGCAGTTGTAATACAAATCTATGTAATAATTATGACAAAACATGGAGAAGACATCCCATAATACTCTATAACCCTATTTATACTTGATAGAGGTGTAACAACTCAAAAGTGAATCATTCAAGATCATGTGTTGAATTCTAAATCCTTTGGGGAGCTATCTGAAAGGACCTGGCGAGCTACTGATATCTCCCGAGTTACAGGTTGGAAACCCTGGATGTGGAGTGTAATTTTACTTGACTAAGTTTCTCAGAGTTCATTCTGTTGGAAAACCTTACATGGAAGCACACTGTCCCATGTGTGTTGGATTTGAAGATGGGCACTCGGCAGCATGGGGACGACGCCTCGGAGGAGAAGAAAGCTTTGCACATGCGCAAGTGCCAGCAAAGTACCTCAGCCTCCATAGGGGTCCGGCTCTGTGGCATGCAGGTCAGCTACTGTTGTTAAACTACTGTATATTCATCATTTAGGTTGAAATCCTTTAATTGTGCTTGTTGTGTAGAGATAACTCCTGCTCTGACTCCACACCCCACTTTGAGAATCACTATCCTGTATAGGATCAGTTGGTAGAGCATTGGCCTTCGGGCCTGACGGTTGTGGGTTTGAGACCCACTCCATCTACTCCCACTGATGTCTGCTGCCATTGTGTCCTTGGGCAAGACACTTAACCCCACTTTGCCCCCAACCCAGAAACGAATCAAGGGGATGAAAATGCATGGATGGATAGATATTACACTCAACATATGTTTTTTTTTGTGTGAAAAGACAATTTCCACAAAAATGTGCTGAACTGCCTGTGTTTGCAGGTGTACCAGTCTGACACGGGCCAGCTAATGTTCATGAACAAATACCACGGGCGTAAGCTAACTCCAGCCGGATTCAAAGAGGCTCTTTTCCAGTTCTTCCACAGTGGTCTGCGGCTGCGGCGGGAGCTGCTATCCCCTGTCTTGCAGAAGCTCTGTGACATGAAGTGTGCTCTGGAAGACTGTGAGTCCTACCGCTTTTTCTCCAGCTCCCTGCTGATCATCTACGACGGAGCGGCCCACAGGATGCAGGTGCACAGAGGGTCCAAGCATGGGCTGTCGGAAGAAGAGGAGGAGGATGAAGAGGAGCATGTTCAAAGTAAGGAGGAGTACCAAGAGACAGAGGCAGGAGCACTATGTTTCACACATGCCTCCCCTGTGTCCAGTGAGGCCATTTGCACCGACCACAATGTGGATGTCCGGATGATAGATTTTGCTCACACAACTTGCAAACATTATGGCGAAGACAGCGTGGTTCATGAAGGACAAGATAGTGGCTACATTTTTGGCCTCCAGAATATAATAACAATGATATCAGAACTAGAGGATCACAGCACAAATTAAGAATAAAGCACCAAATGGATACAATGAGAGAACCTTTATTTGTCCCACAGTGGGGACTTCAGGATCACAAAAGCTGACCGCATCTCACATCCATTTTTCTTTTAGATTTTTTGTGCATCTTTAGAATATGATTGAAGCCAATGACATTTGATCGTGTTGCTATAATTGTCTGGATACAGCAGAAATATTTGTGTGTGTGAATCTAGTTTGAGGTTCTGACTTTGTACACGCTAGTACATTTATTGTCCTACATATTGAAGGGAAATTCATCTGAAGATCTAGTTCAATGATGAAGTGGATATGATGGCTGTGTCATTTCAGTAGTTTGAAATATATTTTTCAGAGTTTCTATCTGTGGACTCAATGATGTATGCATCATCCTCACTGTACTGTGTACTATGAATATGAGATGTATTAGCATTTATGCGTAACCAGATGCAAGTTTAGGTCATTCAACCGTCTGCTGTAGATAAATATTATAATATTTTGAAAATATAGAATTCATACATTATTTATTTATGCATCATAATAAAGTAAAGAGAGCGCACTACATTCCATGTTATGAATGTTACAATAATGATAATGAATATTGTTATTTGATATAGCTCTTGTTGGTGGAAAAAATAAAGGTTTGGTTATTTACTGTCTGTGTGTTAATTTCACCTTTCAGTCAGTGGAGCAGGATGCCGCCGAGCGGAGTCATAGTTTTCATTGCTTGTTTTTGTCATGAGCCTCTCATGTTAATGTAATAGTATTTTTTTGCAATTCACTTCGCGATTTATAAATGTGTTGCCAAAGAGTGAAATATGGTTGTATCATAATAAAAACAAAGGAAACCAAGCCAAAACATTCAGAAATACATAACACAATACATAGAAACCAAATAAGCAGTGATCTGATGGTATGGGTCTGGGTACATATTAGCTCCTCCTCATGTGCTGTACACTATTCTGCCCCAATAAGCACATGATCCAATGAATCATGTGTGCTGTGTGTTTACGTCAACACTATCAATACATTCACACTAAAGCAGCAGTGGCATTAGCATATATAATGTGGCGTTAGTTATTGAAATGATGTTCAAATATTAATATATGGTCTATATAAATATACGTGGATGGAAGAATGCAAAGCTGAGGAAGATAAGCTGTACTGGTAGCAGTGGGGGTGGGGGACTGATGTTATGTAACAGCCTGAGGGTCAATGGTCTGCTTTTAACCATCACCATGATCCCATTCTGTCACCAAAATAATCTGTCTCTACCACAGCACTATAAAGGTATAACCCTGATGGACATCAGTAAGTATCTTTGATCTGCTTGCATGCTGGGGTAATCTTGATAAATGTAGGTGTTATTGTTGTAAAGTCCTATTGCTAGTATAGACAATAACAAACACTTTTTTTTTTTTTTTTTTTTTTACAAAATTAACAGAAATTCTTTAAATGTATACATTTTCCAGCATTTACTATGTTCTTGTGAACAAATAAAAGTAATAACTAACATTGCTCGGCTCTACCTGCGTTGGACCTAAATGAATACGAAGCAATGATATGAATGATGCAGAAATAAACCAGGACCAAAAAAGAGAGAGTTGAATCCCAGTGGAAAGCCTGGTCTATATAGTGTATTCTATATGGTGGTGTAATTTTACCATAGAAGATAGTAAATGTGATTTTACCATATAGTAAAATTACACTAGAACTAGTTAAAAATGTCATCAATTAAATTTATTTATTTATTTATTAACCTTTATTTAACCAGGAAAGTCCCATTGAGATTAAAAACCTCTTTTTCAAGGGAGTCCTGGCCAAGAGGCAGCAAAATATACAGTTTAAGAATTACATACACATTACATACTCATTATAAAAAACATTTACAAGAGGTTGACTCAAGTGCTCTCACTTTAGACTTAAATTCGTTCAATGGAATAAGATCAGTTATTTTCCAGTCTTTTTGCAACGTGTTCCATGTAGAAGGAGCAGAGTGAACAAATGCCCTTTTTCCCAGTTCTGAACGGGCAAATGGAACAGTGAGCAACAAATGATCATTTGAACGCAAACTATAAGAGCCAACGCTCCTCCGTGAGATTAGGTTACAGATGTAAGAGGGCAGTAGACCAAGCATGGCTTTATAAATAAAAGTATACCAATGACTCTGCCTCCTGGAGGACAAAGAAGGCCATCCCACTCGAGAATACAGCTCACAATGATGGGTCAAGGCCCTACAGTTAGTAATGAACCTCATTACTTAAATTAAAGCCCACGTCATGCTTCTAAAAATGAAAAAAATATATATATATTTATATATTCATGTGAGTCTGGTGCAATGTGGTCCTCTGGCATTTTAGAATCAACAATTTCATAAGCATTCTCTGATGCTGGTTTCCCTTGGCAGGACACTTATTTCCAAGCTGGATAAGGACTCAGCCTAACATAGATTCCTCTGCATTTTAATCATTGGCAGTAATTTTTCTTACACACATTTTATTTTCCTTTGGGCTAACCAAAAGGACAACACCAACACCGAAAGGCTTTTCACAGTGCTTTCCAGTCAAATCTAAATATATTTATACATTCTAGTTATATTGACCTTGTGACTGTGAGACCAATGTTGTTCATTAATACGCACTGTCCCATCCAAATAAAAATATACATACCATGGATCTATTATAATAACATAATATCTATTATAAATTCTCTAGTGAAGACATAGAGACAGCAGCCAAACATTTTTATGCCATATTGACTTCAATATTGAGTCCTCTCGTAAGCGAAGTCAGACTAACGCAGGAAAGCAGAATTTACCTTTTGTTACATCCAAATTCAGAACGCTGAGATCACTGAAGCAAGCACACTGGGCAGACTTCAAGTTATCTAGAAGTGATCACGACCTGAATGCCTATAGGAAAACAAGGGATGCACTACGTAATGAAGTCAAACATATGCATAGTGTAAACGAGCGTTTACACTATGCACAGCGAGCTCAGAATTTGGCATCAAGCTACTCCCCAAAAAACTACTGGGGCATGCTTTCAGAGCTATATAAATTCTCTGGAACTTGTGATACAATTCCTGACTTAGTATATGAGGGGAAATCATACGTGAATAATGCTGAAAAAGCAAACATGTTAAATCACCTTTATTCCACTAGTGGTTATGATGAACAGCAACTGTTTGACAGCCCTTTAACTCAAACCCAGAATGGTATATTGACTGATGTACAGATATCCCCTGACTGTGTGTACAGCAAGTTAATGAAGCTTGATGTTAACAAAGCGAGTGGGCCTGATGGTGTCCCAAATGTTTTCCTTAAAAACTGTGCTGCTGAATTAACACCTGTACTCGCTCACCTTTTTAAGCTTTCGTTTTTCTCATCAAAACTGCACCAAATATGGAAATCTGCTTATGTGACACCAGTCTACAAGCGTAAAGGCGAGAGATCAAGCCCGTTCAGCTACAGACCAATATCTTTGACCTCGTGCATTGTGAAAATCCTAGAGAGCATTATAAATGACAAGCTGATGGCATTCTGCTTGGACAATGGATTAATATCAAAGCACCAATTTGGGCTCCTGCCAAAACACTCTACACTGGACCAACTGGCATTGGACTACCACACTTGGTTAAACGCTGCTGAAAAAAAGGACACCTGCCTTGCAGCTTTCCTAGACCTAAGTAATGCATTCACATCGGTTCCACACAAGGCTATCTTACACAAACTTCCAGCATTTGGAGTCCAAGGAAAAATGCTTGCCTGGATACGCGACTATCTAAGTATTCGCCAGCAACAAACAAGAGTTGGGTCTTTATTTTCCTCACCTCTTCAAGTGCAGTCTGGAGTACCCCAGGGCAGTGTTATTGCTCCAACACTGTTTATTATCTTCTTAAATGATTTATTAAATGCATTGGAGGAGCTTTCTGGGCTGTTACCAGACAGTATAAGAGTTACACCAGCTGCATATGCGGACAACACTTTACTAACTGTCACTAGTGCATATCCAGCCCTCGCGGCTGCAGGTTTGAACTGTGCATTGGCTGCAGCAAGCAGTTGGGCCAACACCTGGGGTATGAAATTCAACCCTTCAAAAACTGTATGCTTGTGCTTTGCTAAAGCGCCAGTTAATAAACAAATAGATGGTCAAGTCATGGTTGAGGGCCACAACATCTCCTTCTCAAGTGAGACAAAGCACTTGGGGATAACAATCAGCAGTGATTTGAAATTGAAGCGATATGTTGAGGACTTATGTAAAGGGGCTAGAAAGGAAATGTTTGTGTTGAGGCTCTTAAAATCAAAGCTACCACCACAAAGTAAAGAAATCCTGCTTCGGATCTATAAAGCATACATTAGATCCCGACTAGAGTACTGCTCAGTGCTGATCTGTGGCATAGGAAAGACTCTGATAAACTGTTTAGAGAGCATCCAACGAAGATGCATGCGCATTATTCTAAATCTGCCGTATCGTGCCCAGTTGACAGCAGAGCATTACAGAGCGCTCGGACTAACAACCTTGCAAACAAGGCGGAACTTTGCTCTTGCATGTTTTGGTTTTAAACTGTTCCATGGACTCTCGCCTGCGGCGCTGGGACCATACCGACCCACACAAAGGGTCCTGCCATACCATGTGCGCTGGGTCAGCTGTGCTTTTCCGGACGGGACACTGCCCAGCGCCCATATCATGCAGAGATCGTGTCTCACTCTGGCCACCAGAATGTGGAACATGCTGGACTCTGACTGTGTCTCTAGTGAAACTTTGGGGGAATTCAAGGAGCACCTCAGGGTAAGGCTCAGGGATGAACTGTTTGAAAACTTTCCTCATAATTAGACTCTGGGGTGGGAGGGGGCATTTAATTCCAACGGTCATGTGACCATGGAAATGTAACGGGTTTCTTTTCAATTCAATCTTTGTAAGGTTTTAATGTTTTGTAAATGTATTAAAGATTATAAAAAAAAATAATTCATTTGTTGCACTAGAATGCACTCACGCATGTATTACAAGTGATGCATTTAAAATACAAATGTGAAAATATATGTAATAATTATTAAACTTTCCTTTAATTAAATATAAGACAATAACAAAACAAAAATAGCATTCATACTATACATTCATACTGGAAATCATATTTGATGACCCATCATAGCTCGACTAATCACTGAATCGTTCCAGAACGCCATCTAGTGCACGTAAGATATACAGTTTTACCACCTTTTTCTGATACCCTACAAACATTTAAAACGCAAACTGTGCAGTTTCTGCAAACAATTTGACGTTTGTTGATATGAAAGCTAATTGCAAGTTATGTCCGTTTTAACTATTCATTTTTAACCGACTAGGAACTACGAACACTCAAATTCATTAAAATGACCTCCTTCAGACCTCCTCATTTAGACTCTCTATGATACAAAGTAGCTCTCAATCTCCAGGTTTGAACTATGGGTTGATATAATCTATGGTTCGAAAAAGTTTAATGAGTTTAACCATTTAAATAAATAAAAAGTAAAGTCACCAAGGTAAATAGAAAGGAACTAGGCCTATGGTGTATTTTCTGATTCGGACGTGATCTTCGTCCCTCATTGATGACGTGTATGAGCCGCTTGTCTGTTGACGTGTCTTTCTTCTCTCCGGAGCGGCTGCTGGATGGAGCCACACTGACTTTCCTCCTCATTCAAACTGCATTCACGGGACAGGAATCAGCTTTAGGACAACATGGGAAGTATGTGCATATTTTTGAACGTTAATTTTACTCATCTCATTGTTTAAAACATTCTATTTGGACTTGAAGTTAAGAAAGCTATAGCTGTGTATTAGCTAATTGGCTAGCCCTGCAGGATAAGTACAGCTAGCTTATTCATTGACTTTTGGTCATTTGAAGTTTCAATTTAAACCTTGTGATTTGCTATATTTCATCTGCATGTGATATATTCTTGAAATTGTCTGCAAGCTGTCACTTGCGGCAGCTCTGATCTGGTCCTTGTTAGAATTCGTTTCCTTGGCGTTTTGAGATATTTCCAGTGTTTTTTTGTAGCTCATCCGCAAAAGCTGACTTTCACATCCTTATACCTTTTTATATATAGAGTCTTGTCAACGTCTGGTGTCAGCCACTGTCAATCCCAGGGACTGACACTTTTTTATAGTCTGATGGACACGTCAAACATTACCCCTGGGCGTGATATTTTGGAGCTCAGTCTTTGTGACCTATTCGTACACTTTAATCAATCTTGTAATAAGCCCCATTGTCATTGCAGAGAAAACACTTTAATTTAATGCATCACTATTTTGTGGTATTATCTTTACATTCAAAATATTAAAGTCACAACATGTAAGATTTTATTATGTATCCCTCTTTTATCTGTGTCCCCAGACTCAAGGTCAACTTGTATGAATCATATTTGACGCTGATTTATTCCTATTTATAAAACCATGGACCTGATGCCCACATTATTTACGTTTACACTTGAATTTAGTTTTCAAGCTGATTCGCTAATCAGAATTTGGCAAGTAGCAGTCATGCTACTTTGGTTAAACCTCAACAGCTGCTGCAATTTGGTAATTAGAACTGGAAGTGCTTTTTAACATGTAGGAAGAACATGGGCAACAAAGATTTATATTTTATCTGTCTTATTTATTTTACCAAGTGGTGCAAAAACATAATTTTCTTTTAAAAACTACTGCACTGCCTTTAATGTTTGTATTTATGCACGGAATTCATATTTTGTAAATAATGGTGCGTTTTCTTTTGCAGTTAAATTTTTAGAGGTAATCAAGCCATTCTGTGCTGTACTACCAGAAATCCAAAAACCAGAAAGAAAGGTGTGTGTAATGCATTGTATAAAATTAAAGTAGAATGGTTATATATGGCTAACATGTTTCATTGTTTTCAGATTCAATTTAGAGAAAAGGTGCTATGGACAGCCATCACGCTATTCATTTTTTTGGTGTGCTGCCAGGTTTGTTCTTTTTTGTTTTTTTTAAACAAATGTTGATAATTTGGCATGTTCTTGGAAATTTAAATTACAAATGATTCCAGATTCCACTTTTTGGCATCATGTCATCGGACTCTGCTGATCCCTTCTACTGGATGAGAGTCATTCTGGCTTCCAACAGAGGTACTGCGCCAATGTTTTAAAGCCTGGCATTTCAAAGCTTCTTAATACTAGGATAATATATACTGTACACACATGCCGAGTTATCTTCAAATTCTTTCAATAATATTAACAGAACCTGTTTCTGCATATGATTAGGGTCATCAGACATGGATTTTAATTATTAGATTCTAAAAAAAGACATTTCTACAAATCAAAAAGTGTTGATTGCATTGTTTTTATTTCAGGTACGCTGATGGAGCTGGGTATTTCACCCATTGTCACATCAGGCCTCATCATGCAGCTTTTGGCTGGGGCAAAGATTATTGAAGTTGGCGACACTCCTAAAGACAGAGCACTGTTCAATGGAGCACAGAAATGTAGGTTTACTAACTTTATATTTTCTTTTTGGTCCGTGACAAAACCTGGTGGCTTCAATTAGTTTCCCTCCCACTTGTACGTTAAATGTTAAGGCATTTGAATGTTTAAGTACATGTTTATTCCTCAAATATTACAATGACTCTTAAAGTGTGGTGCCTCTGTGGAGTGGATAGATGATAGATTTCTTCCGCTTCTTCTACATGAAAACAAATGCACTATATGTGGCATTTAACCAGTGGTGGTAATTAATTTAACTGTGTTTTGTTTTTAGTGTTTGGTATGATCATTACTATTGGACAAGCTATTGTGTATGTGATGACTGGCATGTATGGAGATCCTTCTGAGATGGGAGCTGGGATTTGCCTATTGATTATTATCCAGGTTGGTAAACTAGTGTGTTTGATCGCCATAACATCATTACACTTAAAGCTGGGCTCCCTAACTTTTGTCTTCATAATAGCTTTGTCTGTCCCAGTAGATAAAAAAAGCTTAAAGTCACAGCCTTTAAACAAAATGGACCCCAACAATCTATCGTCATCTCATTAGAAAACATGCTATCTTTAACAATACTTGTAAGAAAGAGCCCTGTTAGTCACTATTTTATTCCTTGGCCTGAGGACACATCTCTTTTTCACTTTTTGTCTTGTAAAAGCTGATCTAAAGTGGACGGAGACAAAACAAACTAGCAATAAAACCAGTGCTTTGAGATCAAAGAAATGTTCAGAAGAGTTAGATTATGGTTACGCTTTCTGCAGTTTTGAAAGTTTGGTACCCCAGCTTATTACACTTTTGAAACACAATGAAAGGTTTGCATCTAATGTGAACGCTCATCCCCTTCAGCTTTTTGTCGCTGGTCTGATCGTGCTGCTCCTGGATGAGCTGCTGCAGAAAGGTTATGGTCTCGGCTCTGGGATTTCTCTCTTCATCGCAACCAACATCTGTGAAACTATTGTGTGGAAAGCTTTTAGCCCTACAACCGTCAACACTGGCAGAGGTGAGGAGCTAACCATAATGAATTCATGCTAAAATGAATCAAAAGTATAGAAACTGACCCCATATCCATTCATTCCAGGCACTGAGTTTGAGGGCGCCATCATTGCCTTGTTTCATTTGCTGGCTACACGTACTGATAAAGTGCGTGCTCTGAGAGAAGCCTTCTACAGACAAAACCTGCCCAACCTCATGAACCTCATCGCAACTGTCTTTGTCTTTGCAGTAGTCATATACTTCCAGGTGAGGTGACTGGGATGCTTCCATTTTAATCTAATGGGATGGAAATGTTTCGGGTTGTACACAACTACACTATTTTGTTTTGTTAGAATTCATATTGTTTTCTTCCTAATTTACTCCTAATATCGGGTTTTGGATTATTTTTCTTTCTTTCTGCAGGGCTTCAGAGTTGACTTGCCCATCAAGTCTGCTCGCTATCGTGGCCAATACAACACCTACCCTATCAAACTTTTTTACACTTCCAACATTCCCATCATTCTGCAGTCCGCTCTGGTCTCAAATTTGTATGTTATTTCTCAAATGTTATCGACACGATTCAGTGGGAACTTCCTGGTCAACCTCCTGGGAACCTGGTCTGTAAGTACAAATGATTGAACATGAATCTTGTTAATGCTAAGGAACTAGTTTTCCAACGCTATAACATTGGAACATCTTTGTAGGATGCCACGAGTGGTGGACCAGCACGTGCTTACCCAGTAGGCGGTCTTTGCTACTACCTTTCTCCTCCGGAGTCCTTCGGTTCTGTTTTAGATGACCCTGTTCATGCTGTAATCTACATCGTTTTTATGTTGGGCTCTTGTGCATTTTTCTCCAAAACTTGGATTGAAGTCTCAGGATCCTCTGCCAAAGATGTGAGTTTTGTTTTTGCTACAAGTTAAATTTACATTATCATCTATCATCATATTTTTGTGAATCAGGTGGCAAAGCAGCTGAAGGAACAGCAGATGGTTATGAGAGGACACAGAGAAACCTCAATGGTCCATGAGCTAAACAGGTAATCTTTAAAACTATCATGTACATTTCAGTTTAATTTCGATTTTATTAATTGAATGACTTTCTCTTCCAGATATATACCCACAGCGGCAGCCTTTGGTGGCCTCTGTATAGGAGGATTGTCTGTCATGGCTGACTTTTTGGGTGCCATTGGTTCAGGAACAGGAATTCTTTTGGCTGTTACCATCATATATCAATATTTTGAAATATTTGTCAAAGAGCAGAGTGAAATTGGCAGCATGGGTGCCTTGCTATTCTAAATACAATAGCCTGTAGGCTAACTCCCCGTCCTAGTTGTCATTTTTACAGTTCATACAGTGAACAGGTGACTGCTGGGCCAATTCATTCTTCTCATTGTTACTCATTGCAGTGCTAAGATAACTGGTTTAGATCTCTCCAAGGTTAAAAAAAATGGTGTAAATCACACTTTCATTTATGTATGCCAAAAAGTTTGCAGCCTTATATTTTCTGAATAATGTCCAGAGAAAATATGACAAATGGCATAATTCAAAGCTTTGGGGAATGTTGAGGTAATACTACAGACTTTCAGCTATATGGACATTTTTAGGGAGCAAAGATGTATTTACAGGACCAGTTTTCATTTCTTCAATATGGCATCTCAATGACTGTTTTAACCCCCTGATAATGTGGGATACTGGGATTGTGCTTGTGTTGCTGCTTCACAATAAAGATCACATATTACTTAAAAAATGCTGCACAAACAAACTGCCGAGGTCTGGGTGATGCTGGGTTTGATAGGGATGGAACAAACTGTCATATTGGTTTTTATTTTATATGTAACAACATTGTTATTAAAACAAGATTTTTCCAATACATGTCTGCCATTGTGTGTTTTAACACCTGTATGATATTATAATATTAATGTGTGTATACATCACATTTATCTCACATGGATTGTTTAAACATTAACTTTTTCCTAAAATGTGGAAGTCGACCTTATGGCGCAAGTCCATGAATTGTATTTGCATACACATTAGGTCCTTGATGTCATCATACGACACCAACCAACCCTAAGCAGTAATTGTCGTGATGTCATTTTTATGCGCCTTTCTTCGACAGATGCGCTGCTGGATTTATACAAATATCGGAGTGACACCGGACGGGAAAATTGTTTAGGTTTCATGTAGGAATTGATATTTAATACTTTTGAGCTCAAAGGGAACCCAACAACCATGTCGTACTGTAGAGCAGAAGGTAAGGCTGAATTATCATTGTGGAATCCACTGTTTTATAACATTGTTGTTGGCAATGTCACAGCATGGTCCATGTTGCAGGTTACATTTGAGCTGTACATTTGTGGTTGAGCCGTTAAATACAACTTTATATATAAGTTTATAGTGTTTTTTTTTTCTTCATTCTTTTTTGTCAATTTTTGCTACATAATGACTGATAATGGTAACAGGTTATCTAAGGTAAGTTTAGGGTTGAAGGGCGCCTCCAAGCGTTTACAAATATACGGATTATTTTTTGAGAACGAGATTACATATGTTCTGGTATCTTGAACTCAGCAGCTTTCTTTATTTTAAGTTGTTGATCCTGTGTTTTGTTCTTTTTGCATTGAAGGCAAAGATCGCATCATTTTTGTGACCAAGGAAGAGCACGAGTTACCAAGCAATGCTGAACTGGTTGCTGATGACCCCAACGATCCTTATGAAGAACAAGGTTAATTTAAAATAACCCGCTGTGTACTTGAATCGTTGTTTTCAACTCTAAACATTGTATCTTTACCACTTAAGGTCTGATTCTACACAATGGAGACATCAACTGGAATTGCCCCTGTCTGGGTGGTATGGCTAGTGGACCTTGCGGCTCCCAGTTCAAAGAAGCCTTTTCATGCTTTCATTACAGTAAAGAAGAAGTGAAGGGCTCTGAGTGCATTGATCACTTCCGTAACATGCAAGAGTGTCTGCAGAAATATCCTGAGCTTTATCCTCAAGATGACGAGAGGGAAACACCACCTCAAACGGAAGCTGTCTCTGAACAACTATCCTCCGCTCCCCAAAGTGACTCTTCTATTTCTGATTCGGGACTCGTAGCTGACCGATCTTTGCCGACCCACAGTCCGGAAACTAGTAGCTAAAGCTACTGGAAATTTGGACTCTGCCCTTGCCTCATTTTAAACAATGACAATCAGTAATTCTCACTGACATCTCTTTGGAATAATTACTGGAGATGGAGAATAAAATTATTTTACTTTAAAATTAATTAAATTACTTTTGATCGACACTAAATTCCACTTAATAGTCTATTTTTCTTTTTTAAATCTATGCAACAGAGCAAGTAGGTTTTAATGTCTTTACCTCAAAAAGAAAGTTATCATTTATTGTTCGCTTTCTAGACATTCATGTCAAACTAACAAAGCTTTAAAATGCCAGCAACTCAAAGTTGCTTTGTCTTGCATCTTTGTGAATTTCCTTCCATAGTCTGTTTTTACAATTTGGTGGTCTCTTCACTTCAAAATCTAATAAGACTATTCATAATTTGTTGTTTATGTTGATACTTTATGATAAGTTTCAAGACTTTTATACACTTTGTAAGTAATTCAGTGTCTTGCTCTATGCTTATTTCCAACTCATAATGCACTTATCTAACATTTCCCCATCCCTATTTGTTTCTTCTTTTTGAAATTTCCCCATGAATAAAGGATCTCTTCATGTTTATATCTCAAATTTGGCTATCAATTCAAATAACTTTATTCATTGGTGAGGAACTTCATTTACAGACATTGCTATAGCCAACCTTATGTGCAATTGACCGCAATAACAATAACACACGTTTTGCACATCATTTTCCTTCTAGATATGTTCAAAATGACTGACTGAATACATTGTTTTAAAAAAAGCTATCACTTCAACAGCACTTGAAGAAAAAATAAAATAAACTCTGCAATATTCTCCATTGTTTTCTATATATATATACACCGGAACAAACTCGAGGAAGTGTGCCTGGATAGGGAAGTCTGAGCATCTCTGCTTAGACTACTGCCCCCGCGACCCTGTTACAGATGAAGCGGAAGAAAATGGATGGATGGGTTTTCTGCAGACACCCATATGTATAAGATTAGAGCCCAGATTCCAAATGGGTGAAAGCGCCATCTAGCGGCTGTTGTCTATACTTTTTTGAAAGAAGCAGAACTTGTGTTAAATTGGTCATTATATCAACATGGTGATGAATTGCCCTGATTAATTGGTTACCCTTTTGAAACTATCACCCAAACTGTGCTTGGTGGATGTGAAAGATGTCGGGCCCCACAGACTGACAGATATGCACCTGATATGCACACTGTTAAACACATGGTTTACGGTAGACCCAGGGCCCTTCTGCCTGAGTGTTGCCATGTCTTTTTGCTCTACGTAAACATGCCCCGTTGTCTTTTTGTTTTCTTTAAATACAAAATAAACAAAACCTTACACTCATTTAAATATGATACTATTCATGGCGTAAATAAGGCACTCCTTAATTAATCAAGTCAATAATTTGACCTTTAGTGTGTTTGTTTTACTGTTGCACCCTCCCAGTAACAGTTAGCGTATCCATGGAAACGGCACCACTCGGCTTTTGCTACTGAGATTTTGCTTCGGTCGGTGAGAATGACTATATGACAACTTTGGTAAGATCTATTATAACGTTGTAAGGTCCCGTTACATGGGGTTGAAACATGAACCTAACTTTTCCCTGGCTTGACGTGAGTAGCTGTTAGTTAGATTGGGTTTAGCTGGTTTAGCTAACTACATATCGCTGGGTCACTAGTCACTACACAGTCTATGGTCACTGCTAACGTTTCATTGATTTAACTGACTAGCTTAGCTACGACACTATGTTAGCTTTTAGTTTTTCCCATACATTTAATGAAAAAAGACATAAGGTGGAGCTCCCGAAACTGTATAAGAGATAGAGGACTACTAAAAAAAGATAACCAAAATAATTACATGAAACATGTAGGGTTACGTTTGTGGAACTATGGTGGGAAGGCAGGTCGCTGTATAGAAAGTGTCCTGGATTCAGGAGCTTCGGGAGCTATAGGCTTAACGTTGTCTTTTATTTAAGACCCATTCTTCAAGATGGAATTTAGTGCAGAGCCCACGTCTGTATTCGCACAGAGAGGCTTGTATTCAGACATCATATCCCCCTTTCTCCCGCAGGTAATGCTCAAAACTCAGTAATTGTAGTGTTGTTCATTAACATCATAATCTTTTTTTTTTTCATTTTCAGGATGACAGAAAGGCACTCACTACAACAGGTGCCAAACATGCCGAACACTATAAGAAGATTGTGCTGGTTGTCCGGTACCATTAACTTTTGATAATTCTGTTTCAAGGAGGGCAAAGAAAGAATGACAAATGCACAGCTCAGCAATCCCAGCAAGTGGAAACCTCTTACTTCTGCACTGGTGGAGACTTGCCCAAAGTTCAGCTGCCTTACCAAACTGTAGCTGGAAAAATTCCACGGAAACTAGAGATAGAGCGGTTTGTCTTTACAATGACCTTCATAATAATTCATAAATACATACTTGCATGCAACTTACATTGTTTGAGTATTGACAAAATTCACCAATAAGCTGAGAGGGATGATATTGGGAGAAAATTCACCAGTAAGCGGAGGGGGGTGATATAGAGTAGATGGACTTTTCTGACATTCAAGCCGGAGTAGGCCACCCTAACATTTTGTTTTTCCGGAACTAAAGTAACATTATATTATGTAGTTATTTGTTATGGTTTCAAAGTTAGGTAGCTATTCCAGCTTTCATGTTTTAAATTTGTCGTACAAAACAATGAACATCTTTGATTTATAATACATCTGCCACCTTTCTTTTACAGTAAGTTCTCATTTTGAAAAAACAAAAACAAATGTGTATGTGTGTGTGTACTCTGTAACAGACGCCGGAGGGAATACTCACAGTTAAATTTTGAACAACTCCTGGACGTAAATGGCATTAACTCTGAAAGTATAATAAGTAGTAATGACTGCGTCTTGTCTTGGTCACCTTACCTTCCACTGGAGGTATGCGTTTACATTAATCTTTTATAGCTGTCCGTGTCAGTTGATATAGAAACTATTAAACCTACTTTCTATTACCGTCAAAATAGATATTTGACAATGAAGAATTTGACTGTCGAAGCCCAGAAGACTGGCTTTCTCTGGGTATCAGTGAAGAATCAGGTGATCGGAAGCCTATTCCAGCCAAAGCGCTCCTGCCACTTAAGGCCATTTCCTTTGGTTTGTACTTTCAATATCACTTTAGCAATACATAAAGTACACTTTTATATCTTCTACCAATTATGAATCAGGAACAACCCAGGAATATGACTGGCATCTGGTTGGTGTTCTCGATTACAACAAGGAGACATCACTGTACCTTGTTGAAAAAGTTCATCTAAAAGATTCAAGTGGGGAAAGTGGACATTCTAGCCTAACCGAAAAGCAGAGAAGGACACTGTTGACCAGTATGTGTCATGAATCAACTCGACACAACAATATATGTATAATTTCTTAATACATTTCTTCACTGACTGTGCAGGGCCGTACATTACAGGAGATAAACACTGGGTTCCTAGAATTCGTTTGTTATTCCAAGCAGAGGATCCACGCGTCTTTGTGCAGCGCCTAAAACATGCCCAAGATTTGAGAGACAACTCGGAGGCTCTTATCCTTTTTCATTTATCTGTTGACTGCATGCCCATTTCGAAAGGAACACCATCCCTGGACAGCTGCAGTCTCCAGCGTATAAGAAACTACGCGCTCACAACTCCTGGTCTTAGATTGAACAAGTAAGTAGATAGCATTAACACTGCATGAGTAAAATGTGATGTACGAGATGATGACATGGATTTTGTGAGTTCAGTTTGGAAGACTGTGTAAAGCGAGTGGAAGAGGAGATCCAACTAGACTACAGCAGGACTATGAATCGCATCACGTTTGAGAAAGTTGTGATGAGTCATAAGTCAGAGCAGCCCTTTTCACACATTTTTATTCCAAAGAATGAACCTCCTCTTGTGTCAAACAGAGGTGCATCAACTTCACATTGTTTAGATTTTTTTTGTTTTATCTGCTCATGCATAATTAAATGTAATGTTTACTTTTACTCTTTTTAGTGTCTATTGCAACACGTGATTTTCCTTTCGAGGAGACAATGGCCAAGATAACTTTTTGCTCATTACTCACACAGCCAAAAGTGTTGTTTATATTGTCTAAACTACATTGTGAGTGTGACAAAGTGGCAAACATGCAGCTATTTAATATTTCTGGGACCAAACCGCTTCAGCTGAAGGATTTTGAAATTTTGCAATTGCAAAGCCACACTCAGGTGGAATACAAATTAAGTCATTACTTAATGACAAGACAAGATCAGGACTGCTAACAATATATTCATTACAGGTGAAATTGTTTCTTGGAGAAACTTGGGCATCAACAGTGACTAAAACCATTCGGTATTCCTTGCTGGAGTTGGGGAAAGGCAATTACAATGTGAATCCATCTTCTTGGGAAATGTATGAATTTTCCAAGCTTCCTAAACTGATGAAAGTGGTGCAGTTCCAAATGCAAGATGCTCTGCGCCATCTTGTGCATAACTCTCTGGCCAATCTTACACAGAAAATAGTGGATGCCTGTCAAACTTGCCTGGAGTGCACTGAAGATCTACAGTGGGGAGAAGATCTCATTAACAGTCCCTACAAGTAAGTATAGCATTCACTTTTGTATAGACACATTGCAAAATACAATCTGAAACACTATATATTACCATTGAATTATGTTTTTGTTTTCTTCTCTAGGCCAAAGAAAAACACATTTTTTCTTGTGAAACTGGTTTTGGACTCAAACGGGGTTTGTTATAGCACTCCTCTTGAGAGCTTTCCATCATCACTCGTCAAGTTGTTTGACAATGCAATTCTGAGCACAAATAATGTACCACGAGTTGAAAAGGTGAAGAATTTGAGAATAAAGAAAAAAATAATATAAAAAAATAATTTGAGCATCCAAACAAATCCAAACAAATGAATTTGTACTGAATAGGATGATTTAATCTTTTTTAAAATCTTTTATGTGACAGTTTGTGATGGAAAACCTCATCTTTGCGCCAGTTATTTTACTCGAATCTGTGCATTCGTGGGAACAAGAAGTAAATGCTCAAAGAAAGAAGATCCACATGGCTCTTTCACAGGCGGCCCTTCCCTTGAGGGCCTATGCAGCCAAGTTTGTCAAATATTTGGATCTGCATAACCAAGATATTCAGACACTGCTCAAGTAGGTCCATGTAGTGATTGCAGCCATTTACTTTATGTTTCATGTTGTTTGTGTGCACTCTATTTCCAGATCTAGTTCACAGACAGAGCTGACATCTCAGACGGTGTTAAAAGAGGTGGAACAACATTTGAGAGAAAAAGAGAAACTTGAACAAACACTTCCACTCTTGATCAACATCGGCCCATTCACTGTCCAGGTGGAGGCAGTTAGAGAAGCATTGTGCAACAAAAGAAAAATGTTGGCCAAGTCTTTGCAAGATCAGCTTGCCCATAGACTTCGAAAGCAGATCGATGATGTACGTTGTGTTATTTCTCAGATTCCATTGAAATATGGCGTCTGTCATAATGTCATTCTGAATCCATTGCTTTGTGTCAGGCCTGTGAGGAGTGTGCTATGATAAATAGAAGACTTTGTGAGAATCCTAACACAGTTGAGGAACTGTCTGCAATAAGAGAATGGATGAAGCAAATTCCGGAACAGTTAAAATGTTATGAAGTAAAGTACTTTGGGAAAAGTTATTGTTATTACATGAAAATACAATTACATCATTGCTATCTTTTTTAAACAGGAACGACTTAAAAAGACTCTTGAAGAATATGATGTATTGGACGATTTCTTTTACCATGTTCAGGATGATGACTTCAAGAAGAAGTGAGGACAATGATTCAATTAATCCCATTCAACGGCAAATACATGTATTTTGCATGTACACAGGTGGGCGGCAATTGGATGGCCTCAGAAGATATCAAACCAGATGCGAAAAACATCCGTACGCCACAAGGAGGATGAGGAACAATTTCACACAATTCAGCAAAGTGAACAGAACAACTTGGAAGAGGAGATTGACTCATTAAAAGTTTGTTTTATATGTTTTATTTTATATGTTTTATCAACATTGTGGCCTCATGGTCTCTTGTGTACGTAGATGTTGGTTGCTCAATTTGAGACTTTTGGTGACATGGACAACGCACACGACTTGGCCAATAAGGTGAAACATACAAGGCAGCAGCTGAAGGGATGTCAGGCCAAGGCACAAACCTACAACAGCAGAGAGCGGCTGCTTGGGCTGACCTTAACAAACGTAAGCACTTAAAAACAAACACAAAATTATTCCTGTGTTAAAGGACTAAAAACTTTTTATTGCATTCATTTGAAATTGTAATCAATCAATACACACAGACACATGAAACAAAAGAAAATGTCAGCCAAATGTCTGAACAGCTCACTCACATCCACACACACAGACTGTGTACCACTTTAGAATATTCCCCAACAAAATGATTAACAATTATTTTGATAATTGGTTGGGCAATTATTCTTTTCATAAATTGATTAGTTGCTAAGTTATTTGCATCATTGAATAAACATTTTTTTAATACGTTTGACTTTAACAATGCTAAAGAAATGCCACTCGAGAACATCTGCATGGAAACCAGATAAACATAATTGGTTGTTCCATGTCATTCTCTACCTTTATGATTATAGCTATACGTCTTATTAGCATTTTTTGATCCAGGTGTGATGGAAAAAAATCAATGAAACAAAACTGTAACACTGTTTCAACAATCAATTGTATAACAGAACGTTCATATACCAGCTCTGTCAAAATATTTGTGTAAGTAAACACTCTGTCATGTCTTCTAGTACGATCGTCTACATCATTTAGTGGAGGAATTTCAGCCTTTTGAGGACCTGTGGACAACTACTTCCAACTGGTTTCGGTGGCATGAGAGGTGGCTAAATGACCCACTATCGTCAATTGACTGTGAACAGCTCGAGCGCAGTGTCACAGAAGCCAACAAGACCATGCATAAATGTGTCAAAGTCTTTAAAGATAATCCAGGTAAGAACTTAGACCAAAATACCTGCCGATGCAAACATGAACATTTCTTGTTTTTTCTCTCTTCTAGGATGTCATAGGGTCGCAGCTATTATTCGGAGCAAAATAGAAGAATTCCGGCCTTACATTCCTCTTATTCAAGGACTAAACAACCCTGGAATGAAGAGTCGCCACTGGGAGAAGCTTTCGAAGGATATTCACATGAAGGTCCAATTCCAAACCAATCTAAACTTCTCACGCTGCCTCGAGATTGGTTTGCAAAACTATGTCCCTGAAATCGAGCAAGTGGCTGAAGTGGCGGGAAAGGAATATGCCATTGAACAGGTTGATTTTTGATTATATTTCTTGAAATAACATTATAATGACAACAGGTTACGCTCATGTAATAGTATTCTATTTAATTTGAAGCAGGTTCCAATACTGGGATGAAACCTTTTTTTAATGAAATTTTGAATTGAAAATATCCAAATGTTTTCCCAGATAATTATTTGATTGTGTTTCATAAACCAGCCATATTATGTCTGAAAGTCCTTTCTAGAGGCCGACATTATGCTTTGTTTTTCTACATGTTGTCACCACTTCTAGACATCGTTATGAGAGAATAATTAGACCATAATTGATGTGTACTCACAAAAAGGAATGTTAAACTATAGGTTCTTTGTAATGTTGTAATGTGACATGAACACAACCTATAGGGGATTAAGCGTTGACCGTGTCAACAGTATGTTGACACGTTGTTATAGACCCACGTTGTTATAGACCCACGTTGAAAAGCGGGTTAAGGAGAAGACGCCTACAGTCAATGTGCTGTGTGCAGAACCAGAGAAAATGGTTTTATATACAATGTACCTTTGTGTCAGCAGATCCAAAACCAGACGTGAATGCTGAAAGGGCCTTTGCTCATGTCACAGCCACTTGCACTGCATTCTAAAGCCAATATTACCTGAAAAATAGTTTTTCAACCATTTTAACACGTAAATGCCTCTCAAACGTTTGACCACAGTGGAGAGGAAATGATAAAAACTACTATAGGAATTCATCATTATTAACAGAGATCAGGTTATGTTCTTGTGACCATTTATTATACAGGATACACACTTTTTTCATATCTTTTATTCTAAATGATTAACCAGAAAGGCTGTTTATTAAATAAACCAAAATGTAGTTTCATTGTGACATGTTTTCCAATTTTAATGACTATAGTTAATTTTGTTTTGTCTTTTTCTCTGCTTCCTTCTCATTTAGGCACTTGATAAAATTGCTAATGAATGGTCAACTGTTGTCTTTGATGTGCTGCCATATAAGAACACAGGAACCTACATTCTGAAAAGTCCAGATGAAGCCTCACAATTGCTTGACGACCACATTGTTATGATTCAGAGCATGTCATTTTCACCGTACAAACAATCTTTCGAAAGTCGCATAGTCAACTGGGAGAGTAAACTGAAAATGACTCAAGTACTGTATTGCTTTTCACATTTAACACACAATTCAACAGCATTTCTGCTTTTCTTATTATGTGCTGCTACTCTCTTGGTCTTTCCAGGACGTTCTGGAGGAATGGCTGACCTGCCAGCGTTCTTTGCTTTACCTTGAGCCCATTTTTAGCTCCCCAGACATCAACCAACAACTTCCAGCTGAAGCACACAAATACCAGAAAGTGGAAAGAATGTGGAAATCACTTATGAACAAAGCTAACGATAATCCAAAGGTTGCAACGATTATTGGTTTCAACATATTTGAAAAACACTACAGCACTTTTGCTCAGACTACTTGATGGTTTTTCCAGATTATCGAGTTGTGTCCAGATTCCCGTTTATTTTCTAATTTGAAGATCTCCACTGCATTATTAGAAGAAGTACAGAAAGGGCTCATTGAATACTTGGAAACAAAGCGACGTTCCTTTCCCAGGTATGAGTTTTTTCGTTTTGTTTCTTTTTTTAAACTGTCCACCATGTGTTCTACATAAAAATGCCATGTCTATCTGTGGTTACTTGTTTTTAGATTTTACTTCCTGTCGGACGATGAGTTACTTGAAATATTATCTCAGACCAAAGATCCCACAGCTGTTCAGCCACATTTACGCAAATGTTTTGAGAACATTGCACGGGTGTGACATTTTAAGAACCTCTTTACAATTTTGCAGTTTTACTATACAGCTTAAAAACTGCATTGCTTTTTTCCCCCCCAGCTCAAATTTCAACTGGACTTAAAAATCACGAACATGTACTCTGGAGAGGGGGAAGAAGTGAAGCTTTTCGTGTCGGTCCAGCCCTCTGGGGATGTTGAGAACTGGCTCAGAAATGTTGAGAGGTCAATGAAGGCCACAGTAAGAGATAATATTGACCGGGCAATAAAGGCCTATAATGAGGTTTGTTTCTTAGCTGTATCATAGTTTATAACTTAGCACTTGATGGTAAGTGGTGTGCATTTAAAACAACACTGATTTATTGAAGAATCCTCGAGAGGAATGGGTTTTATCATGGCCTGGTCAGGTGGTGATTGCTGGCTGCCAGGTATTTTGGACTGCAGAGGTATCAGAAGCTATTGAGAACGGAACCTTGGCTAGCCATCTATATCCTCAACTTCAAACACAAGTATGTTACAACTTAATTTTGCAATATGCTAATATCTTTAATTACTCAATTGTCATCTGTCTTCATAGTTGAGTAATTTAGTCCAGCTTGTCCGAGGAGATTTGTCCCGAATGCAGAGGGCAGTTCTGTCTTCTCTTATTGTCATAGAAGTTCATGCTAAGGATGTTGCCGCTGAACTGGTTCAGCAAAACGTTTCAAGTATTAATGACTTTGAATGGATCAGCCAGCTTAGGTAGGTATGCAAAATAAATAATATATATACCATTGAAATATCTCACTTGATTTTTTGGATTGCAGTATGACTTAAAGAATAACTTTATGATCTGCTTTAAACTTGTCACAACATTGTTCCCTCACAAAAGCCGACTGCGGGTTTTTGATCCTTTCACGCTAATATCAGGAACTTCTAGCACAAACATGTAACTCGACTCCTGTCTAAAAATCACACTCTGTTTTGCCATACTTGAGATATTATTTTACGTTTCTAGAATAAAAGCAAATAGCAAATTAAAAATACTGATTTTTTTTCTTTAAATTTACATTATTATTGTATTATTTCTATAGATACTACTGGGCAAGAGATGACTTATATATTCGTGTGGTCAATGCAGAGTTCTTGTATGGATATGAATATCTTGGTAACTCTGGTCGATTGGTTATCACTCCACTGACAGACAGGTTTGGGTGAAATTGGATACCAGTTTTATGTACACAAATCCCCACTTTCCTTTCACTTTATTGCATGTTATTGCAGATGCTACCTAACTCTAACAGGGGCTCTCCATCTGAAATTTGGAGGGGCTCCTGCTGGTCCAGCTGGTACTGGAAAGACTGAAACCACCAAAGATCTCGGAAAGGCCCTTGCAATCCAGACTGTGGTGTTCAATTGTTCAGATCAGCTGGACTTCAAGGCTATGGGAAAATTCTTGAAAGGACTTGCCAGGTTAAACACAGCCACATTACAAGAATATTTGACTGAACACAATATACCTATAGACACACATTAATTCTTGTTTATATTTCCTTACTTTTAGTTCTGGTGCTTGGGCATGTTTTGATGAATTTAATCGCATAGATGTTGAAGTGCTATCTGTAGTGGCCCAACAAATTACAACAATACAAAAAGCACAACAGCAAAGAGTAAGTACAGAGTAAAGAGTAGTAGCTAATAGCAAACTAGAAAAAAAAAAGATGTATTTAATAAATCAATAACTGCTTTCAGGTTGAACGCTTTGAATTCGAAGGGTCTGAAATCACGCTTGTTCCATCTTGTGCTGTGTTTATTACAATGAATCCTGGATATGCTGGCCGAACAGAACTACCTGACAATCTAAAGGTACTGTAAATTGAGTTTTCTATCCCACTATAAATCTCTGAAATATATGTTTTTAAATACAAGCTTTAACTCAAAACAAAATAATATAATCTTAGGCTTTGTTCCGTCCAGTGGCTATGATGGTGCCTAATTACGCTATGATTGCTGAGATTTCCTTATACTCATTTGGCTTTAGTGAAGCCAAAATCCTATCAAAAAAGATTACAACTACGTTTAAGCTATCCTCTGAACAACTTAGTTCACAGGTAAGAACTTAATCCCTCTCTTTGTAATTTTAAATTGCATTGTTGCTTATGATTTTGTTAATTGGGTCCTTTTAGGATCACTATGACTTTGGTATGAGGGCTGTAAAAACTGTGATCTCAGCTGCAGGAAACCTCAAGAGAGAACATCCTGATATGAATGAAGTAGGATATTTATTTTGTATTCAATTTTATTCAACTTTCTTAACCTACCATTTTGTTCCATTCAATTTCCTGAAGGAGTTAATTTGTCTGCGGGCCATTAATGATGTGAATGTGCCAAAGTTTCTTCAAGATGACTTGAAACTATTCAATGGGATTGTATCTGATTTGTTCCCCAAGACAAAACAGGAGCCAATCAATTATGGAACACTGGAGAAATCCATGCGGAGAGTTTGTGTTGAAAAGAACTTGAAAGATGTGGACGGTTTGTGTTTGAAAAGGAGACTAATTTTTTTTATTTTTGACACAACATCATAACATTCCAAAGTGCCTGTAGTTTTAAGTTGTGGTGGAGGTAGCTGAAAAATCTTTCCTGGTGGTACTAAAAATGTCAAACTTCTATTTTTAGTTTAGAGCTAATTTCTTTGTAATTCATGGCCCAATTCATATCAGTAAGTAAGTAAATTATCTTTATTTGTATAGAGCCTTTCACAGACCAGAGTCGCAGAAAGTTATTTGTCTCTCATTCCACAGAGTGAGAGACAAATAACATCTCCACTGAGTGATAACATTAAAAGAGACGTTCACAAAATGTACAATGTACATTTTAATTCAAGTACATATGACTAGAATCTCATAAAGGTGTCTAGAAGTGGTAAGCATCTTTATAAAATCTTTGTGAATCTATTCTCTACCAAATATTGATCTGGGAAAACACTTTTGATATTTTCTTATTCAACATTTCTGCCCTCCAACTGAAATAAAAATGCAAACTATTACAGAATATTTTTTTTCTCCAGGGTTTATTCATAAATGTATTCAGCTTTATGAAACTACAGTAGTCAGACATGGCCTCATGCTTGTTGGGCCATCGGGATCAGGTAAAACCAGGGTAAGTCTGAACATCTTCTGTAAATATTGTGTGTGCAAAGTGTCATTTGTTGATTTTTTTTAATTTTTTATTAGTGTTATGAGATTCTGGGCGCTGCCTTAACAGCTTTAAAGGGCCAGCCTTCAGTGAGCGGTGGAGAGTATGAGGCAGTTCATACATATGTTCTCAATCCAAAGTCCATCACCATGGGACAGCTTTATGGGGAGTATGACTTGCTCACACAAGAATGGTAAGATACTCTAATATTGGAATAGTGTAATGTAAACATTTGCAAAAATACAAAAAACCTTGTCCCTTTGAAAAAAAATCTTCCCCATCCCATTGACTCCATCACTGTTCTTGAACCCCTGCTGCTTTTTACATACAGTATACATTATTTAATGATGGCTTATGTACAGTATATTGTGTTCCTAGAGTGTATCATAGGCTTTTAAATAGTGCTGTCCAAAATATTGCATTTTTAACAAATTAATATTAACACGATTAATTTGTGTGACCAACTTTAAAAAATGTTTTTGGCTGTGGCCACTGTTAGTTAGCCTGACTCTCGCCAGACCTTTGTAGTTCCGCCATGCTCCACCAGAAGCGTTTTGCTTCGCCCAGCGATCTACAAGGGTCTAGTAGCGCTAGAAAAACTATAGAAACCTGGAAACAGGACCCGAAAACCCCGAAAACTCCTTCTTTAGTTATCACCATAGCACATCCACACCATAGACTACACACGGCTCATGCAAAAATATGGATAGCGCAACTGTTAGGCACTTTGCAACGTTATTTTGTATCATCCTGTTTTGAGCCCAAAAGGTAGTTGAAGGGGCTTTTTAGTTACCAATGCTATGTTATACTGTACATCCGTTTATTGACAGCATTGAATTATATGGCATTTTGCATCACGTTTTCAACAAGAAAAATCACTTCCACGTTGATAAGAGTATTAAGATCATAATTCAAGGGACGAAAAAAATAGATACAAATTTGGACAGCACTACTTTTAATTAATCTAAAGATGATACAATATAAGGATTCAAACTTAGGTGAAAAATTACCTTTTTACTCATAAAATTTTGTGAATCATGTATACTGTAATTGTGAATTGCCTATGAGTGGATGCACAGGATCTCCTTTATTCAAAGTAGTAGCTTAAATCAAAACAGTACTGTTTGGTATTGTATTATGTTCATTTATATGGCATAGCATTGACCACAGGAAAAAAACAATTAAAACCCTACTCTTAAAGTGAATACTAGGAATACTTGGAATGCAGAAAAGAGCATTATTTTAGAAAGTTAAAAAGTCCCCCCAAACCCTGTATTCCTGTATACTTTTGAAGCATTTGCACTTCACTGTTTGTGGAAGAAATGTGCTGCAGTAACAATGTTCAGGCCTAAACTATGATTTTTGAAACATGGAATAAAATTAATAGAATATTGAACACAGCTGACGTTTGTAAAGACGTTGAGTGTTGACGATTAGACTGTCTCCTGTTTACTCTGGTTGAGTCTGGAATTAAATGGGGCAGTATGTCATGTTTTCATTTTTAAGTGAATTACATCTACATATTTTATGAATCACATACAAAATACACTGAGTTTGTTCCATTTCTAGCTAAACCTCAGCAGGTTATTCAGTAATCAGTAATTGTAATTACTTTATTAGACCACTAAATACCTACAGTACAGCCCCTTTAAAACTAAGGTAGCATTTACAGTTCCATACTGTTTTTGTGTGCTCTTTATTCCTATTTTGTAGTGTGCAATGCAGCACCAAAATTCTCCCACTGTGGGACGAATTAAAAATCTCTTATCTTAAAGATGACCCCTATTCATGTTCAGGAAAATTATGTAAATTTGTCTTTCATTTCAGGACAGATGGAATCCTTTCAGCTCTTGTTCGTGGAGGGGCGTCATCCATGGACAAGGAGAAAAAGTGGTACATGTTTGATGGTCCAGTGGATGCTGTGTGGATTGAGAACATGAACACAGTACTGGATGACAATAAAAAACTCTGCCTCAGCTCAGGCGAAATCATAAAGCTCTCAGATGTTTGTACAATCATAGCTGTCATGATTCTTTTTTTGTGCAAAATGACAAAATAAATTGTTCTCCAGGTGATGACCATGATGTTTGAGGTGCAAGACTTGGCCGTGGCTTCACCGGCGACAGTTTCCCGGTGTGGTATGGTTTATTTGGAGCCTAGTATTCTTGGCCTCACTCCCTTTACCGAATGTTGGCTGAAGCAGATTCCTGAGGCAATAAAACTACACACGGACCAGCTTACTTCCCTTTTCTCCCGGTTCCTCAAGGTAAAATTTGTCTGTATATTATAATAATAGCATATTGGTTGGGTTCAGACAAGATAAGATCAGATAAGAGAGCCTTAATTCGTCCCAGTGGGGAAATTTCAATGTTTCAGTGCACGTACAGGACACTTGTAAGAGCACACGGAGCACACAACATGATCAAAATAAGTAGCTGCTACAGTGCCTTGCGAAAGTATTCGAACCCTTCCGAACTTGAACCTTTCAACATTTCGCCACATTTCAGGCTTCAAACATAAAGATATAAAATTCAATTTTTTGTCAAGAATCAACAACAAGTGGGACACAATCGTGAAGTGGAACAAAATTTATTGGATAATTTAAACTTTTTTAACAAATAAAAAACTGAAAAGTGGGGCGTGCAATATTATTCAGCCCCCTTGCGCTAATATTTTGTAGCGCCACCTTTTGCTTCAATTACAGCTGCAAGTCGCTTGGGGTATGTCAGTTTTGCACATCGAGAGACTGGAATTCTTGCCCATTCTTCCTTGCAAAACAGCTCGAGCTCAGTAAGGTTGGATGGAGAGCGTTTGTGAACAGCAGTCTTCAGCTCTTTCCACAGATTCTCATTTGGATTCAGGTCTGGATTTTGACTTGGCCATTCTAACACCTGGATACGTCTATTTGTGAACCATTCCATTGTAGATTTGGCTTTATGTTTTGGATCATTGTCCTGTTGGAAGATAAATCTAAGTCCCAGTCTCAGGTCTTTTGCAGACTCCAACAGGTTTTCTTCCAAAATGGTCCTGTATTTGGCTCCATCCATCTTCCCATCAATTTTAGCCATCTTCCCTGTCCCTGCTGAAGAAAAGCAGGCCCAAACCATGATGCTGCCACCACCATGTTTGACAGTGGGGATGGTGAGTTCAGGGTGATGAGCTGTGTTGCTTTTATGCCAAACATATCGTTTTGCATTGTGGCCAAAAAGTTCGATTTTGGTTTCATCTGACCAGAGCACCTTCTTCCCCATGTTTGGTGTGTCTCCCAGGTGGCTTGTGGCAAACTTTAAACGAGACTTTTTATGGATCTCTTTGAGAAATGGCTTTCTTCTTGTCACTCTTCCATAAAGGCCAGATTTGTGCAGTGCACGACTGATTGTTGTCCTATGGACAGACTCTCCCACCTCAGCTGTAGTTTCTGCAGGTCATCCAGAGTGATCATGGGCCTCTTGGCTGCATCTCTGATCAGTCTTCTCCTTGTTTGAGATGAAAGTTTGGAGGGATGGCCGGGTCTTGGTAGATTTGCAGTGGTCTGATACTCCTTCCATTTCAATATAATTGCTTGCACAGTGCTCCTTGAGATGTTTAAAGCTTGGGAAATCTTTTTGTATCCAAATCCGGCTTTAAACTTCTCCATAACAGTATCTCGGACCTGCCTGGTGTGTTCCTTTGTCTTCATGGTGCTCTCTGCGCTTTAAACAGAACCCTGAGACTATCAAAGAGCAGGTGCATTTATACGGAGACTTGATTACACACAGGTGCATTCTATTTATCATCATCAGTCATTTAGGACAACATTGGATCATTCAAAGATCCTCACTGAACTTCTGGAGTGAGTTTGCTGCACTGAAAGTAAAGGGGCCAAATAATATTGCACGCCCCACTTTTAAGTTTTTTATTTGTTAAAAAAGTTTAAATTATCCAATAAATTTTGTTCCACTTCACGATTGTGTCCCACTTGTTGTTGATTCATGACAAAAAATTAAAATTTCATATCTTCATGTTTGAAGCCTGAAATATGGCGAAATGTTGAAAGGTTCAAGGGGGCCGAATCCTTTCGCAAGGCACTGTATATCTACCTGGAGAGACGCGAGACAAAGGTTGTATTCGAATATTTATTTTCCAGATGCATGAATAAACACTAGTAGACTCAGATTGAGTACTAATATATTTATTGCATTAGGATTGGAGATTAGACCCAGGCAGGAATACTGCATGACGTATTCAGAAGGGAGTTTAATAAAAATTATGAGCTTGCGACCCCCCGGGGCCTAGAAGTTGGTGATGAAGAAGCTGAGCCGAAGACATGACATGATACGCCACTGAAGAGGCGGTGATGGGGAGGAGGTGGGTTGCTGCTCGAACAGCAGTTTGAGCTGCAGAGAACTGAGAGGCTCTGTTTAAATGAAGCCATGAAGTGATGATGAGCTCAGGTGTGTTACTGAGCACCTGAGGCTGATTACTGTTGAGCTCAGTGCAGGAGTGTAGAGGGAGAAGTCCAGTGCGGCAGCATGTCGTCTCTTTGGTCTTCCATTCTGAATTGACAGTCATGGTCCAGCATAGATGTTAGTTTGTCCAGGACCCTCTTGTCCCCCACCTGCTGCACTGTGTCCAGGGAACAGCCCAGGACAGAGCTGGACTTCCTGATGACCTTGTCCAGCTTCTTCCTGTCCCTCTCTGTGATGCTTCTGCTCCAGCAGACTGTACAATAGGCTGATGCCACCAAAGAGTCATAGAAGGTTTTTAGGAGTGGCTCCTGCTCTGCAAACGAGCTGAGCCTTCTAATTAGTTAGAGTTGGGTCCGACACTTCATGAAGAGGCCGTCTGTGTTATGAGTCCAGTCCAGTTTGTGCTTGTAAGAGTCCACACTCTCAAAATGCGAGGATTGAGGAGCAAGATGGCGCCGGGTCAGGGCGCCTCAGTAAGAGCTCTGGTGTGCACTGTCTGTTCTATGTTGTTTTTCGTCTGTGATACACTTGCCACCGTGAAGTACGACCGGGAGACACTTCTTTACATTCGGGACCAAGCTTGTGGAGTATCGCAGGTCTTACCCGAACTGAGGTGCTTGGACTTTATTGAGTGCCCCACTCGTGAGGCTCGTCAAACAGGGCAGGCGGGCCGCGGCAATGGCCGCGAACAGAGCGGGGGGACTGGGCGTCTCCATCGTGCTCTCCGCGGTGTGGAGCAGGGTACCGGGAGCCGACGCAGGAGGCGCAGACACCGGGGAAAACGAGGCGGTCTGCTCGTTCGTAGCCGCTCCTCCAGGACCCCTTTGCCCTCCATCTACCTGGCCAACGTCCAGTCTCTGCCCAATAAGACGGACGAGCTCCTGTGTCGGGTCCAGAGCCAGCGAGAGGCCCGAGACTGCGCTGTGTTCTGCCTCAGCGAGACGTGGCTCCATCCAGGCGTCCCGGACTCTGCTGTTCAGCCCCCGGGATTCACCGTTCACCGCGCGGACAGAGAAAAGGAGACCACGGGGAAATCCAGAGGTGGAGGTGTGTGCTTTTTAATTAATCAGCGCTGGTGCACGGATACTCGCATCGTGAACCAAACATGTACTGCAAATCTGGAATGCCTGGTCTTGAGCTGTCGCCCTTTTTATCTTCCGCGGGAGTTTTCTGTGATATTTCTATGCGCTGTTTACATTCACCCACGAGCGGACTATACTGTAGCACTACAGGATCTGAGCGAGATCCTTCATAAATACGAGACTGCTCATCCTAATGCAGTGATTATTGTCGCTGGGGATTTTAACAAATGTAATTTAAAGACTGTACTCCCAAATTTCTACCAACATGTGACTCGAGGTATAAGAGGAGCACATGTTCTGGATCACTGCTACAGCAATGTGAAGGGAGCTTACAGGTCCAGTCTCAGACCTCCATTTGGAAAGTCCGATCACTCCTCTGTTCTCCTTCTTCCCTCATACTCTCAGAGGAGCAGGGAACATAAACCAACCTCACGCACTGTGCAGTGTTGGTCCGAGGAGGCTAGCATGAAGCTACAAGGGTGTTTTGATGCCACTGACTGGTCTGTGTTTCAATCAGAGGATGTTAATGAATTCTGTGACGCTGTGTCTGGATACATACGCTTCTGTATTGACTGCTGTGTCCCACAGAAGGTCATTAAAGTACATCTCAGTCAAAACCCTTGGATGAATGCGGAAGTGAAACAAAAACTTCATGAGCGTGCTCTGGCGTTTCAATCTAACGATACAGTTGCCTATAAGCTATCCTGTTATGCATTGAAACGTTCTATTAAATCTGCAAAGCGCAGTTATGGGGACAAGTTAAAGGGTTATTTTAAGGAAGATGACCCTCGGCGCATGTGGAGCGGTATTAAAGCCATCACGTCCTGGAAACCTAGTGCCGGGAAAATCGGATCTGTTGGCCCAGCTCTGCCTAATGAGCTGAACACGTTCTACTGCCGCTTCGAATCTGCCGATGCCTGTCCTACTGTCTTTCCTGATTGCCTCAATCAAGGTGCGTTCACCGTGACTCAGGAGGAAGTCAGGCGTGTCTTGTCCAGCACCATTGTCCGGAAAGCCCCTGGCCCGGACGGCATCCCTCCTCGTGTCCTGAAACTGTGCTCTGAGCAACTTGCTCCTGTGCTAACAGACATTTTTAACCTGTCGCTAAGGAACTGTACTGTGCCGAACTGCTTTAAAGAGTCGACCATTATCCCAGTTCCTAAGAAAACTCCTGTGACATGCCTTAATGACTATCGTCCTGTGGCCCTCACGTCTGTTCTTATGAAAACTTTCGAGCGGCTTGTGCTGGACTTCATTAAGAGCCAGATCCCTGTGAGTGTTGACCCGCTCCAGTTTGCTTACAGACAGAACAGGAGTGTGGAGGATGCCATCTCCTTTGCTCTGAACTCTGTCTACAGTCACTTGGACAATAGGAAATCTGTTGCAAGAATGCTGTTCATTGATTATAGCTCTGCTTTTAATTGTCTTGTCCCAGGTAAACTGATTGAAAAGCTCATGTCTCTGGGTTTAAGTGTTGCCATGTGTAAATGGATCTATAGCTTTTTAACTGACAGATTTCAGAGAGTGAAAATCAATGACTGTTTTTCAGATGTTGTTTCTGTGAGCACTGGATCTCCTCAGGGATGTATTTTGAGTACTTTTTACACTGTACACTCATGATTGTGTGTCTTCCTCAGACTCTAACCTGATCATCAAATATGCTGATGACACCACCATCATCGGTCTCATCAGTAATAACGATGAATCCTCTTATAGAGCCGAGATCCAAAACGTGGTTCAGTGGAGTAAGGCTAACAACCTCCAGCTGAACGCATCCAAAACATGCGAACTGGTCTTTGATTTCAGTCGCAACAGTTCTCATTTGCCTGTCGCAATCGATAACTCCCAAGTGCAGATTGTAGAGGAGTGTAAGTTTCTGGGTCTAACTCTGTCTGATGACCTGAAATGGGTTAAAAACACTGACCGAGTCGTAAAGAAAGCTCGTCAGCGTCTCTACTTCCTGCGAAAACTTAGAGAATTTACCACTAACTCTAAGATTCTGTTGAACTTTTATCGCTGCACCATTGAGAGTTTGCTTGTTGGTTCTGTGTCTGTGTGGTTCGGTAACATCACAGATAAAGAAAAGAGAGCTTTAAACAAGGTGCTCCGCTCTGCAGAGAGGACCGTGGGCTGCGAGCTTCCTGTTCTGGAGGTTCTTTATCAATCCAGACTTTTTAACAGTGCCCTGAGAATTATCAGAGACTCTTCTGGCCACCCAGGAAAAGCCTTGTTCCAGCTTCTTCCCTCTGGCAGAAGATACTGTTCTCTGAGATGCAGGACATCTCGTCATGCTAACAGTTTTTTTCCACGAGCTGTTAACAGTTTGAATAGAGCACTTTAATGTTTTGCACTCGTATAGATCTGTTTTAAGTTGGTCAACTTCACGGTGACATTTGTTGTGACATTTGTTTACTGTTTTTAAAATTTGTTTTATTTTTGTCTTTTAATGTTGTTTTGTGTCTGTACTTGTCCTGTGCACACGGGGAACTTTTACAAATATATTCCAATGTGGTGTATACATACTGCAAATGGCGAATAAAATGAATCTGAATCTGAATCTGAATATCCCTTCCCTGGATGTTCACTGGGACTGGAGCGGCAGAGTGACGTCTGCGGAAATCCACCTTAGTCTTCCCCCGTGTTGATAAGAAGGTGGTCCCGCTGACACTAGTCCACAAAGTCCTGTGTTAGTCTTCTGTGATGAGTCTGATGATGGCAGCTATCATGTTCCAGAATTGTATTTCAGTTGGAGGGCAGATGCCAATACAACTGTACGATAAAGGAGCAATTTTTAAAAGACAAATAAAATTACAAATTTATGATAGTGATTGGGTTCAAAAACTCAATTAATCAATCTTTATTTTTAGAGTGCCTTATCACACAAGGCACAAATCATCACATAAAACAAACACCAAAATTGCCATTTAAAACACAATTAGAAATCACAGTCATAATTAAAAACATATTAATTAAAATCACACAAGAGATTAAAACCATTAAAACAATAAAAAGGTGCATTAAAAATAGAGATATAATCCTTCAGTTGTATGCACAGGCAAACAGAACCGTCTTTACCCTGGATTTGAACATTGCCAGTGTAGACTTGCCATATTATGTCTGAAAGTCCAAACATCATGCATATGTTCTTTTAAATATGGTCACCACTTCTAGACACTTTTATGAGAAAACAATTAGACCGTAGACTGTTGATGTCTACTAACACCGCCCTGAAATTGACTTAAAGGATCATGAACGCAACCTTAATAGTTCATAGTGATTCTTTTTTTATTAATAGTAATAATAATAATAATAAGCAATAATGTCATCACTCATGTGCTATCATTCCTTCACCTTTTGTTGTGTTTTTTTGGCAGTAGTTAGTGATCAGTTCAAAGACAATTTGCCTCACATTCATGTTATAACGTTGTAATGTTTTAGTTGTTAATGGCTAGTGTTTCTTGTTACCAACATGTTTCTTTAAGCAGGACTCCATCAGATTTGTTCGTGAGCAAGTTAAAGAGGTTGTCACATCTCTTGACAGCAACCTAACTTGTAGTCTTCTTAAACTTATGGACTGCTTTTTTCAACCTTTCAACCCTAAAGAGGTAAGGAGACAGATAGATTTAGATTAAGAGATCCTTTATTCATCCCACAGTGGGGACATTTCAGACACTTTACCATGTCAATTTTGTTATATTGTTCTCTTCCTAAATGATCTATTAAACCAGAGTGCACGATCACCACCTCAGCACAAAGTGGAGCGCCTAAAGAAAGTGATTGAGCCTTGGTTTTTCTTCTCTCTGGTGTGGAGTGTTGGAGCCACAGGAGATGCAACCAGCTACCAGCTCTTTAGCAGCTGGCTCAGAGAGAAAATGGCTGAAGAGCGAGTCAGGGATCTTTTTTTTAAAAAAAAAGACAATATATATATATATATATATATATGTATATATAAAATCAAGCTAATGTTGATATTTTGCTTCCAGATTGAGTTATGTTTCCCAGCTGATGGTTTGGTTTATGACTACAAGCTCAACGATGGTGGAATAAGTAACTTTGAGGAAGATGAGGACGATCCAAACAAGAGCAAAGTACATGTGTTTTTAAAGTCTATGTTTTCTATTTTAAAATTATAACAAAGACATTTGCACACACCATACCACAGAGCCAATTTGTGATCTGGTGTGTGCAATTTGCAGTTTTACTGTCAGAGAGGATAAAGTTCTCATCAGAACTACCTCAAATAACTTCAAGCTATCATTGATTTTAAAGGGGCAATACATGCTATTGAGAACTCGAGGATGGAAACTTCTAATCAGGGTGTCAAGACTAAACAGTAATTTATGTTGTCATTATAATTTGGAAATAGAAAATCAAATCATGGCCAAAATAGATCACCATTTCCTCCTTGGGGGGTAATATTTCACACATGTAATTAAAGCAATTCACTTTTTTATTCCTTTGTTTAGGTACAATGGGTCAGCTGGACAAAAGATTCTCCAAATCTTGTCATTACAGCTGAGACCAAGTATGCAGACATTATTGTTCCAATTCCTGACACAATTAGAATGACTTTCCTGCTTGATATGCTGCTGAAAAATAAAAAACCTGTAAGTATTTTTTTTAATCAAAGTATTTTTTTAATAATTTGATATGGATGTTTTTGTTTTTTTTTGTCAACTAGGTGCTGTCTATTGGCCCAACGGGAACTGGGAAAACCCTAACTATTTCAGATAAACTGCTCCGAAACATGTCAGCAGACTTCATCACCCATTTTCTCATGTTCTCTGCTCGCACTTCAGCAAACCAGACTCAAGATTACATTGATAGCAAACTAGACAAAAGGTGTGTGATCATAATATTTTTTTCCAATTTGGGCAAACATTAAAATGTATGCATTTGTGTGTTAGGCGGAAAGATGTGTTTGGGCCTCCAAAGGGAAAGTATTTCATTTTCTTCATTGATGACCTAAACATGCCAATGTTAGAAACATATGGGGCTCAACCGCCTATTGAGCTTCTCCGCCAGTGGATTGACTATGGGGGCTGGTATGATAGGAAGCAGATAGGTACCATGCATTTAGTTTTAAATTATTTTTATGAATAAATTATGCTTTTGACAACATTTGAATTGAAACTCTATAATGTCTATTTACAGGCACATTTAGACACCTGGTAGATATCAATCTTGCCTGTGCCATGGGGCCTCCTGGTGGAGGACGAAATCCCATCTCACCACGATTCTCCCGGCACTTCAATCTTTTGTCTTTTACTGAAATAGATGATGCCAGCAAGAGGCACATTTTCACCACTATCCTAGGCAGCTGGATGGGTAAGGATGACCTTCACTAAAGCAATCTTATGGCAATTTTATGTTTTGCCATTCAGAACAATGTTAACAATGTATTCCATGCAAAGTATGTGTCTTTTGCTATCATTTCTAATGCCCCTTTACCACATTTTTCCGCCAGCCAAATTGGCTTTGTAAGAATTTTGTCAAATCAGCACAACATTGATATTTGTTTTTCTATTATCATTAGTATCTTATTTGTCCTCTATGCTCCCATTACACTCACATTAAGAGCTCAAATAAACAGAGGAGGCAAGTAACTACAGTAAGTATATTTACTGCAGTACAGTAAGTATCTTATCATACATATTTTTGCTTTAAAAAACACTTGTAACACTGTAAACTTTTGAAGTTTACTCCTTCCTTTAAGCCCAAACAAATATATTTGCAACTCACTAGTTTACTTTGTAGATGGCAATACAACATTAAAAAGCTACCTAGGAAAATTAATGCATAGCGTTTAGCAGAGTGTCTTATTTAATTGTACCATTCAGCTTTAATGTTTTGTATATTGTCATTGCCTGTCAGTCTCTATAAAGGTATAAAGTGTTTCAGTGTTTCAAAAGCAATGCTTAGAATAGCCCGTAAATGTACTGCCCATCAATCATTCAACAAAAATGCGTTTTAATTCATAGTCACTTTAACTCAAGGTCATACAAAAGCTTGTACTTTTATACTGGAATGTTTCAATATTTTATCTTTACACTTTAACTCTACACTTCAGTACCTAAGACTAGGTTTCGAAAAAAGTTCAAGGAATAATTTTGACAATTTGATGTCAAGGATGATAAAAATAAGTATTCTCATCTTCAGGTTGGCCTATTTAAAGAATATTAATAATGGAAATTTCTACATGTTTTCCAAATGTTCCAGTTCCAGCCATCCAGTCTCTGAACGAGGCTCTTGTTGAGGCAACTATTAAAGTCTACACTACAATAACATCTCAGCTTCTTCCAACTCCAGCCAAATCTCATTACACGTTTAACCTCAGAGACCTGTCCAAGGTTTTTCAGGGCATTCTCATGGCTAATGCTGGCACTATTGAGGTGACTAGTGAGAACAATTATGTACAGTATATAACATGACATTTCTTGTTTTGTTTAAGATGCTTCTTTGTAACATTGTAGGAGAAACCACAGTTACTCCAGTTGTGGTACCATGAAAGCTGCCGGGTTTTTCAGGACCGTCTAGTGTGTGCTGAGGACAGAGAGTGGTTCGGTGCACTGCTGAAAGAATGTGTAGAGAAGTTTGAGTGCAATTTTGAAGAGGTTTTCACATGTCAGCCAGTTTTATTTGGAGACTTCATGATTCCTGGAGCTTACCCTAAAGTGTATGCTCGAATTGATGACAAGGAAAAGGTTGGTATACAAAACATAATATACCATACTGAGTTACCTATCATTTTCATAAGACAAGCAAGTTATTGAAGTTGAACAGGTTATCAGACAACCTGAACACTTGTGATTTGTACTCACATTCCTATCAATATTTGACGTGTATATTGTTCCTTTTAATTTTCTGTTTTTCAGTTAGTAAAAGTGATTGAGGAGAACCTGGAAGACTATAATTCAATAAGCAAAAATAAAATGAAACTAGTACTTTTCATGGACGCTATAGAACATGTGTGCCGAATCAGCCGTATCCTGCGCCAGCCTTTGGGCAATGCTCTTTTACTGGGTGTAGGTGGCAGTGGTCGCCAGTCCTTGACCAAACTGGCCTCTTTCATGTAAGCAATTCTGTCATTTATAAAATACTTCATGTTGACCTGATTTCTTTTGTGTTTACATGATTTTCTTGATTTGATGGCTACAAGTTGAACCACATTTTGAAATGAGAAATGCAGCTTGTGTTCTGTCTAGTTGCAAATGTGTACAAGTGTCAGAATCATCACTTGAAGCTAGATAAAATCAATAATACATTTCAAATCGCATTACTTTTCTTCTAAACTTGGGTCCCTTTTCCATTATGGCCCCCAAAATATGCATGTAATCATCTTGTGATTCCGGCTGCTAAATAGAATTAGAATAATATTTTAAAGTACTAAATCCATTGTAGTGTTGTTATTTGAGTTAAATGATTGGTGGAATAGTTTTTAGAATATTATCTTGAAATCATCTCATGTCCTCTCGCTTAGCCTCTCTCATTCCCACTTTCCAAACCACTGCTTTAAATGGATAAAGGAATATTGTATGATAAATATGATTACAATTTAACAAGGAAGATACGTATCTTTCTTTTTTTCAGGTCAGACTATGAATGTTTTCAGATTCAGCTGTCCAAAAACTATGGCCTATCTGAATGGAAAGAAGACCTGAAAGGTATTATGATGAAGGCAGGCCTTCAAAACCAGTCAATCACTTTCCTTTTTGTTGATACACAGGTAAGAACCATGTTATTTTTTTAATCTCCCTCATTTTTTAATAAAAAACATTATCTTTAAGATAAAAAGTGAATCATTCCTGGAAGATATCAATGGCATCTTAAACTCTGGAGATGTTCCCAATCTGTATGCTTCTGAGGAGGAGGAACAAATACTTGCTGCAATGAAGCCAGTACTTCTAGAACTGGGTCAGCAGCCAACTAAGGCCAATCTCATGGCTGCATACCTTATGAAGGTCCGGAGCAACATTCATACAGTTCTGTGCATGAGGTAATCAGTAAATCAAGTACGGTATAATCCTATGAGATTATAAAGTTATGTGCACTCACTCACTGCCTGTTCTTCATTTCATCTGAACTACTACGACTTTTTTTCCCACAGTCCTATTGGGGAGGTGTTCCGTGCACGTCTTAGGCAATTCCCATCACTGGTCACTTGTTGCACTATTGACTGGTTCAGTGCCTGGCCGGAGGAGGCTCTTGAGGCTGTAGCTTCAACATTTCTTAATGAGATTCCCACTTTAGAAGCCAGCGGAGAAACCCTGAAAGGATTGGTAATTGTCTTGAACTTGTATTTAACTTCATATACAATGATGTACAATGCAGCCTGTAATGACTTTTAGCTTTTACATCCAGACTCAGATGTGTGTGAAGATCCACCAAACAGTAGCCAAGAAATGTGACCAATTCAGGGTTGAACTTTCACGACACAACTATGTGACACCTAAAAGCTATTTAGAATTGCTCCAAGTTTTCTCAAAACTCACATCACGTAAAAAGAATGACCTAATGAATGCACGGCAGCGCATGAAAACTGGACTGGACAAGGCAAGCTCATTGTACCTTAAATCACATTTATTCAACATGTATTATTTGATACACAAAGTACAAACTTAATTCTCTATTGTAGCTACTCAGCACAGCCGAAGATGTGAGTAAGATGCAGATAGATCTGGAAAAAATGAGGCCAAGTTTGGAAGAGGCTGCTCGGGAAACTGAGGTCACAATGGAGACAATTAAAGTAAGTCAAATAAACACAGCAGCATTAAACTGTTTTAAATACTACTAATGCTATAAGGACTTTAAAATCAATGTGTATTTAACAAAAGAAAAAATACACGTTTAAATGTGATTGAGTAAAAACACAGTGTAATGGGAGAGTGTAAGGTCAGAGAGTCTTTGGGCCTACAGTATGTCTTGTCTGAATGTGTGTGTACCTGTAGTATTGTATTGTGTCACTGTACAGTATGGTATTATACAGTAAATGCTATATTGTATTGTTTTGTGTTGGGGGGGGTGGAATCATATACCTGTAAGCATCGTCTTCATCCAACCCCTTATTGTATTGGTACTGTGAAATTGTGTTTGTGGGTTTGAAATAATAAATACTAATACTAATTTTAGTATTGCATCTGCATAACTCACTAACTAAACTAACTAAATGCTTGTTCTTCTTTTCAATAATAGAAAGACACAGTAATTGCAGAGGAGACACGCAAATCGGTTCAGGAAGAAGAAACTAAAGCACAGGCGAAAGCGCAGAAAGCAGAGGCCATTTCGGCTGATGCCCAGAGAGACTTGGATGAAGCTTTACCAGCCCTGGATGCTGCACTCACAAGCCTTAAGTCCCTCAACAAAAATGACGTCACAGAGGTCGGATCTTGGAAATATTTCTTCATTCATTTGTTGTGTGCTCCTTATAATGAGAATGTGTGTGAATATACTTAATAGGTTCGAGCATTGCAGCGACCTCCTCCTGGTGTAAAGCTGGTTATTGAGGCTGTTTGTATTATGAAAGGCATTAAACCTAAGAAGATACCTGGAGAGAAACCTGGTACCCAAATCAATGACTATTGGGAAGCAGGAAAAGGTCTGCTGAAAGACCCTGGGAAATTTTTGGATGGTCTTTTCCATTACGATAAGGTAGATATCTTTTTTTTTTAAATTATTGGTTGGTTAGATTCATACAAGTTTACGCAATGTGGCAGAAATGCCATAGCCATATACATTGTCTGCTAAACATCTTTTCTTTTTCTAAATCATGACATAATTGAGCCAATCTGTGGGGATCAAATGGGGACTTTTTACCTAGAAGAAGGGGCTGCTTTAAGGAAAAAATGGGATAAAGAACCTCATCCACAACTACCACAAAAAACTCCATGCTGGGTTAGGGTGTAATGGGGAAATATACGCCATTGTAAACTTTGAATTTTAATATACCTACAAATTGATTTGACACACAATAGTGAAAAAACATCTTTGTGTCATGATTCGTTCTCTCATAGAATATGGCCACAGATCTTTTTTTGACATTTCTGCCAGGGGGTGTAAACTTTCAAGCAGGACTCTGGGCCAGTAACCTCAGTGCTGTGTTTACATCTCTTTACAGGACAATATTCCAGACTCTGTGATACAGCTCATCCAGCCATACATGGATAATGAGCAATTTCAACCAGAAGCTATTGCCAAAGTTTCTAAAGCATGTACTTCCATCTGCCAGTGGGCCAGGGCTATGTATGTGTATCATTTTGTGGCAAAAGCAGTCGAGCCTAAAAGGGTAAAACAACGTGATCATATTTTCTCACAGAAGAAAATTTCTCTTGTGAACTTGTGGTTGGATCATTTTGTAAAAATGCTTTTAGCAAGCTCTTGAGGAGTCCAGGGAAGACTTGGCTGTGACTCAACGGATTTTAGATGACTCCAAAGCAAAGCTGGCTGCTGTTGAGGGTGGAATTGCTCATTTACAAGCCAAGTATGAGGCCTGCGTTGCAAAGAAGAAAAAACTGGAGTATGAGTATGATCTGTGTGAAAAACGGCTTGTTCGTGCAGATAAAGTAAGAAAATGTGGGGAAATTAGAAGAATTAGAATAATTCAAGTGCATTGTATTCAATATTTATCTTTGTTAAGAGTTAGACTTTGAATAGGTTCAGGTGTGAAAGTTATTTATTATTATTTTTTTTTAACAAAACAAAAAACTGATTATAATTATATTCCCAAAGCCACCATAGGTCTGAAAGTTCTTCTGCTAACATCATCCATATGATGTCATCACTTCTAGGCTCCCATATGAGATTTTATTTAGACCATAGATGATATGAACTGACAAATAAGATTTGGAACTTTGTAACAGTTTTGTGCCATAAATTACAGATAGATGAGTTAGTTTAGTCTTTCAGCTCAAATACGGATAGGTTCTACACTATAACCCCCCCCCCCCCCCCCCCACACACACACACACACATCCAGCATCATACCAGTACATTACAAAACAATACAATACAATACAATTTATTCTTGAATAGCCCTAAATCACAACAGCAGTCATCTCAGAAAACCATTGAATTCACCAACACAGATCAGAGAATCAACAGTTAAGACACAGGAATTACACATATGTATTGGTCCATAAGGAGACCAATGTCCATGAATGTTGATAAATGTTCATACATGTTGTAGAACATTACAACATGTATGGACAACAACCATACCTCACACTTACAACACATCATATAGACAGTAGATCATATAGACAGTAGATCCTCTCATTCACATCATATGAAATCAATAACCATAACATCGATACATACATTTCATATTATAGTCCATAATAATAGAATAAAAAATAAGACTATACTTCTGACTTTTGACACTTGTAATAGATAGAAGATTTTTTTAACTGTCCTCCACCACAATCTTAAACAAAAGTTTCATTGGAAGTTTGTGATGTCACCTGAACCCAACCTTTTACCATTATATTATAATTGAAATAAATGCCCCATGAAACTGATTTAGGGGTCTTTATTTATGTAATTTTCCTGTCTGCAGCTCATAGTAGGACTTGCTGATGAGAAGGTGCGCTGGAAGGAAACAGTGCAAAACTTGGATTACATGGTTAATAATGTGACAGGAGATGTGCTTCTGTCGGCTGCGTATGTAGCGTACTTGGGACCCTTTACAGTAAGTGAGGATTTAAGTCAGCTTTTATCATTGTCATCATTCTTATATTGTGTTTGTGAAAGGGGGAGTATAGGGCGGCTATGGCTGAGGAATGGCTCAACTGTTTCAAACAGTTTAATGTTCCTCACACTACGGAACCCAACTTAATCAGCACACTTGGAGATCCAGTCAAAATTCGCTCATGGCAGGTCAGTACAAGGAAAATGTCAATGCAAATGTTGATTCCACGTTGTCCTGATACAAAATCACTGAAAGGTTCAGAGCTTAATGTTAAATAGTTATGACCTGGTAAATGGTTGTGATTAGTAATTATAGTTTTTAGTGTCAGTTCAGAAAAAGACGCATTTTAACATAATTTTTGATTTCAAGGCAGATAAATATCAATAAAAGTGTTCTTACCTAATCATTACAAAATATAGTGATTCAGTTAACCGCAATACTGGATTTAACTTCAGCTTCAATGTATACTTTTGTGATATCCATGGATTCCTTCATTAAAAACATTATTCAAGGTAGTCAATAGCTGCTTCACCGGTAACTTCTCAATCAGTTGTTTCAGTTCATGAGAAAACACTTCAAAAATGCTGAAATGCTGAAGGTTGAGCTTTCCTGGGAAACTGATGCTGTTACAGTTGCAGTATTCTGAGCAGTAGTACACTAAAGCAATTCTTTTCCACTAAATTCAGATTGCAGGATTGCCTAAGGATAATTTGTCGGCAGAGAACGGTGTGATTACCCAGTGTTCTTTGCGGTGGGCTCTCTTTATTGATCCTCAAGGTCAAGCAAATAAGTGGATTAAAAACATGGTGAGTGTGTTTCTTATGTTATACTATAGTTTTTGACTAGATAGAGTGTCACATTTACTTTCCACTGACTAAAATTATTGTTGATGTCTATTTGGTGCTTTGTCTCCCAGGAACGAGAAAACGGACTTGAGGTTATGAAGCTTAGTGACAGTGACTTTCTGCGCAGTCTCGAGAATGCGATACGTATTGGCAAACCCGCTCTCCTAGAGAACGTGGGAGAGGAACTGGATCCTACCTTGGAACCTGTTTTGCAAAAGCAGGTACAGAGCCACAAGATGATGCTGTATATCATATCAGAAATGTCAATTCCAGAATGTTTATTATTAAGGGGGATCATTATTAACCTAAACCAGTCATGTCAAACTCAGGCCCGTGGGCCAAATCCAGCCCTCAACACAATTTTTGTGGCCCCTGAAATGATTATCACTTATCATTATTACATTAACTTTCAGCATTGATGATAATGGGATTTTAATGTGAAAAAACGCATTTGTGCATGTGTTAGCTGGTGTAACGTCAGTTTGCAACTTTACAACTGTGTGATAGCAGTCCCTTTCTCGTCGAGTTGGACTGCCGAATACGTCATTTTACTGACGTAGGCCAATGACACGTCCTGTGGCTAACTCGACAGCTAATAGCTTACAAAGGGTCTGTCGGGTTGATAATGGAAATACTAAACAAACTCTAACTAAGTTGTAAGCCATCTGTCGCACAGGACTCATTATCGACCTACGTCAGTAAAATGACGTATGTGGCCGTTCAACTCGACAAGAGTACTGCTATCAAAACAGTAGCAGTGTGGTTCAGGAGAAGTTGACTACTTAAACCAAACTTTACACAAAAATTAGACTTTTAAAACCCACATATCACGATATGGAACCATCCACATCTCACCTCAAATTGCATTAAAAGTGACATTTGTGTCTTAATTTGTTCATATTAAAACTTTTAAAGCATTTCACGGACTTTATGTCCGCCATCTTGGTTCGCTTTGGCTGACGTGAGAAGCGCATGCGTAGGTTTGCATTACACCATAAATAGCTGAGGCAGTGCAAACCGACATTACACCGGCACTAGCCACATTCATTTAACGAGTGAAGTCCACAAAGGCTAAACTAGACAAAAAAAATACTCCCCTCAGCATTGACACACATCTGGAACGTAGAGTTGGGCCTAGAGCCGACTTTTGGACCATCTTCACTCATTTTGTGCTCTTCCCCACTGACTTTTTCTGCAGACCTTTAAGCAGTCAGGCATCACAATGCTGAAGCTTGGTGATTCTGTAATACCATATCAGGAAAACTTCCGAATGTACATTACTACAAAGCTCCCAAATCCACACTACTCACCAGAAGTCTCCACCAAAATCACACTGATCAATTTCACCTTATCTCCAAGGTAGGCTTCAAATTTGTTGTAAAGAAAGCATGTTTGAGTATTCTTAAGTTCTTTACATTTTTGCTTCAAGTGGATTGCAGGACCAGTTGCTTGGCCAAGTTGTTGCTAAAGAGTGTGCAGACTTAGAAGAAGCCAAAAATCAACTGATTATTAGCAATGCTGAAATGAAGCAGGAGCTAAAAGAGATTGAAGATGAGATTCTTATGCTACTCAGCTCAACTGAAGGAAATCCAGTGGACAATGAAGATCTTATTCAAGTATTAGGAGCTTCCAAAATCAAAGCAGGAGAAATCAAGGTTTGATGAAATAACAATATCGCATTTGATAGAATATACAGACCAAAAAATCCTAGGAATTAAAAAAAATTAAATCTTCCCGGACAGGCTAAAGTGGTAGCTGCTGAAAAAACGGAACGTGAAATTGATGCAACACGTTTGGAATATGTTCCTGTGGCAGAGCGGACCCAGATCCTGTTTTTCTGTGTCTCAGACCTCTCCAGTGTAGATCCAATGTATCAATATTCTTTGGAGTGGTTCCTTGGCATCTTTGTATCGGCCATTGCAAACTCTATGAAAGCAGGTAGAAATGTACAAATTGAACAAGAAAATATGTTCCCCTAATGGCTTGTTTTGCTTATTTTTCAGAAACAGTAAAGCAAAGAATTGTCAATATAAATGAATATTTCACATTCAGCTTGTACAACAATGTGTGTCGCAGTTTGTTTGAGAAGCACAAGCTTATGTTTTCCTTCCTCTTGTGTGCACAAATCCTGATGAATAAGAAACACATTGATTTGGTAAATACCTTTGCCAGAAAACGTATTCATATATAGTTTGTATTTTAAGAACATATGAAAACAGTTTTGCTCCTTATTATGACAGACTGAATGGCGTTTTCTGTTATCTGGAGGTATGCCAACAAAAGAGCTTCCAAACCCTGCAGTGAGTTGGTTGTCAGAGCGAACCTGGCAGGACATCTTGGGCCTGAGTAACCTACAGAACTTCAGCAATTTAGCAGCGAGTTTCCCGCAGCACCTGAAAGGATTTAAAATCATATTTGACAGCAACCAACCGCACAGGTTACTATTACTAACTTCTTAGTATTGTGGGGACATGATGGTTGATCAGTTTTTCGAGAGGAATGAGAAGCAGGAGTATCTAATTGAGGAGAACTTTATTAATGGACCGGCTGGTGTCCTGGTGCAGTGGTAACAACCTGGAGCTGAACGCCCAGAAGACAGTGGAGATGATTGTGGACTTCAGGAAGAGCACTGTCCCCCCGCCCCCACCCTCCGTGATGGACTCCCCCATCACCTCTGTGGAGTCCTTCCGTTTCCTGGGCACCACCATCACCCAGGACCTCAAGTGGGAGCCAACCATCAGCTCCCTCATCAAGAAGGCCCAGCAGAGGATGTACTTCCTGCGGCAGCTCAGGAAAGCCAAGCTGCCTGCACAGATGTTGGTGCAGTTCTACACGGCCATCATCGAGTCCATCCTCACCTCCTCCATCACCGTGTGGTTCGCTGGAGCCACAGTCAGGGACAAACAGAGACTACAGCGCATTGTGCGCTCTGCAGAGGAAGTGATCGGCCGCAGCCTTCCATCGCTGCAGGACCTGTACGTCGCCCGAGCTCGAGGCCGGGCTGGTCGTATCACAGCCGACCCCTCTCACCCTGCACATGGACTATTCCAACCACTCCCCTCAGGCAGGAGGCTGCGGTCCATCAGGACTAGAACCTCCCGCCACAAGAACAGTTTCTTCCCCTCTGCTGTTGGACTCTTGAACACTTCTTAACCTGTCCCCCCGCCCTTTATAAAGTCACTTTACTGCCCATCATACGTCACTTTACTTCACTGTACTGCTGTCACCTTACATTGTGTGCACCATGTGCACTTGTATATTGTAAATAGTAACTGTAACTCTATTTTAAATTTAAATTTATTCTTTAGAAGTGTTTTTTATTCTTATTTTTATTATCTCTTTTTGACTGTTGCACTGAGCCAAAGCAATTTCCAAGTCTGTGACCTCCCGTTACTTACGTTGGCAATAAAAATGATTCTGATTCTGATTCTGATTCTGATTCTGATTAATCAATTGACAATGCGACCCTCTGAGTGGGAGGGCCCAGCCCCTGTGGCTCAGTGGCTCTGCACCCTCTCTGGGCATCGCCTGTGTCCCCAAGTCAAGTTCAAGTCAGCTGCTGTCAAGGAGAAACTATTCCCCTAAACTTACATTATATTACTACGTATCCAGCACTTATTCACTTTATCCTTAAGGCTGCCACCAGTGCTACCATGTTGATTTGAGGTGTATTAGGAAATGTGTTCTTGTAATATTTAAACTATAAACTCTTTAAATCAAGATGACATACAGTGTTCTCAATGGAAATGAATGTGAAAAGGATCCACTGAACATGTATATTTTCTGTCCAACAGGGAGCCTTTGCCAGGAGTGTGGAACACAAGCCTGAACTCATTTCAAAAGCTTTTGGTGTTACGCTGTTTGAGGGCTGATTGTCTCATTCAGGGATTACAGGACTTTGTGGCTGATAAACTGGGGCAGCAATTTATAGAACCCCAGGTACCAGAGCTAAAGTCAACCATTAAAAAGCACAATACATTTCTGTTGTTATATTTGAAATTCATTTTCTCCTTTTAGACATCAGATTTATCTGAAGTTTTCAAAGAGTCGTCCCACATCACTCCTCTTATATTTGTATTGTCCCCTGGCACTGACCCTGCAGCAGACCTGTACAAGTTTGCTGATGTCATGCAATTCTCCAAGAAGATGAGTGCCATCTCCCTCGGCCAAGGCCAGGTCTCATGATTACTTTTCTACCATTTTTACCATTCAACCTGGAGTTGTTTTCATATCTGGAGCAGTTTTTTGCCTTTAATCCAATTAAAACCTGGAAGTTTTCATCTGTTTCTGCATAGGGCTAATGTGGTCTGTGGTCTGCTGTTTGCAGGGCCCCTGGGCTGAGACAATGATGCATGCTGCTATGTTAAAAGGGCATTGGGTCTTCTTCCAAAACTGCCATCTGGCCCCAAGCTGGATGCCCTCACTAGAAAGACTGATTGAACATGTCGACCCTGGAAAGGTCAGAGCGTAAACAAGCCAACAGTAACCCTCTACTAGATAGTTTTTTTTTTTTAAATTAAACTATTACAGATACTCTATTTGTAATACTCACAAAAACAGGCATCCCAATTTGTTGTTTTAAACAGGTTCACAAGGACTTCCGTTTGTGGCTCACCAGTCTTCCCAGCAACAAGTTTCCTGTCTCTATTCTCCAAAATAGTTCTAAGATGACCATTGAGCCCCCAAGAGGAATCAAAGCCAACCTTCAGAGAACTTACCTCAAGCTTACAAATGACTTCATCAACTCTTCTACAAAGGTCTGACAGACTATTACTAATTTCATTTACTATGTTTATAAAAATCACATTCAACCCTCTGTCCTTCGTTTGTTTCAGATGCATCACTTCAAGCCTTTGCTCCTCTCGCTGTCTTTGTTTCATGGGATTGCATTGGAGAGAAGAAAGTTTGGTTCTTTAGGATTCAATATTCCCTATGAGTTCACAGATGGAGATTTGAACATTTGCATTAGCCAACTGAAAATGTTTCTGGATGAGTATCAGAATGTTCCTTACAAGGTGAAAGGGATTACATTTCTCTATTTTTCATTCAGGCGATAGGTTGCGTTCATGTTCTAGAATTCAATTTCAGTTGGCGAGCAGGTGCCAATACATTACTATCAAATAACAAAAAACCCAACATATTCTTATGTCTGTCTATTGGCCGAAATCATGCATATGTTAATATCGTCACCATATCAAGACTTTAAGATAAGAGATCCTTTATTCGTCCCACAGTGGAGAAATTTCAATGTTGCAGCGCACATGAACACAACCTAACTTTCCAAAAGTTTCAGTAGAAGTTTTAAGTTGGAAATGTCTTGCGGCCTCTTCCACGTCCAGGTGTTGAAATACACGGCTGGGGAGATAAATTATGGCGGCAGGGTGACGGACGACTGGGACCGGCGCTGTCTGCTCAGTATTCTGGAGGATTTCTATTGTCCTGCTGTCCTTGAGACTGAGCATGTCTACTCTCCTTCTGGAGTTTATCGACAGATTGACACAAATCTAGATGTGAAGGTAAACAATAGATATTAAAAGACAAAATATCTTTATGTGATGTACTAGAATTTAGAATAACGCTTTCTGTCCATGCTGCCTCTGATAACAGGTGTTGATAATGTAAGTTTTTAGTTTGAGTGAATGTAAAGTTGCATCAAACTGATTTCAATACTGGTGTTGATTGAATTATTGTCCATGCAGCTTAAGGTGCTTTTTAATCACAGGGCTACTTGTCATACATCAGTGGATTGCCTATCAATGACACTCCAGAGATCTTTGGTCTCCATGACAACGCTAACATCAGCTTTGCCCAAAATGAAACTTTTACCCTGCTGGGGACTGTTGTTCGCCTCCAGCCTCGATCTTCGTCTGCAGGCGGGAAAACACTTGAAGAGGTAGAAACAAAAAACTGCAAAATTTTTATAAACAGACATTTTTGAAGAGTGATATTTCATCAGCTCTGAAAAGAGTTCCTAGTCTTAGTAACTTAAGTAAAAGTAGAAATACTAGTGTACAAATCAACGATGGTATAAAGAAGTAAAAATACAAGATGTACAATATATTTATTTGTGACAAAGGGGCAATATATAGGATTTTAGAATATTTCTGATTTCAAACATCAACACTTCTGCACAGAGACAATAAAAATGTGTAATGCTGTGAATGAGGTGTGATTTTAACAAACTAGGCTAAGGCTAAATGTATATTAGCCTAATGTGTGCGTGTGTGTGAGTCTTCTATTGGTTTGCACATGTTACTGTATCCATGTATTTTATTAATGTAACCAGGGATGGAAAGTAGCCGTTTAGCTAAAATCTGGTGCAGAACATATCTGTCTTCGAGCTTAATCTCTCTGTACATTGTCCCTTCAAATAAATACTAAACTAACTAACAATATATACAGTAGATTCCAAGAAAGCAGTTCTTTCCAACTCTGGCAATGAATAATTTATGTTTGTTTATCTCTATAAGATTGTAGAAGACATTGTTACTGGCATTATGGAAAAGATCCCTCCAGCGTTCAGTGTAAAAGAGGTGATGGCCAAGTACCCTGTTCTATACGAGGAGTCCATGAACACTGTGCTCATCCAGGAGGTCATTAGGTAAGATATCTCATGAACTGTGCAAACACTACATCATTTTGAGGATTGAGGATAGTTTGAAGAGGCTTTGTTTGGAAAATATGTATGCTTTTAAAACATAATATACTAAAACAAGTCACCCCACCCCTTTTGCCTACAACTGTATTTGTTCTTTAAAACAACTTTCAGGTACAACAAGCTGTTGGCGGTCATCTCAAGAAGCCTCAGAGATATAAAAAAGGCGCTCAAAGGTTTGGTGGTGATGTCCTCAGAACTGGAGCGTATGGCCAACAGCCTCTTCATTAACATGGTACCCGAAATGTGGAAGGCCAAGGTTGGTCCTTAGAAATAAGTATATTTATAAACAGAACATGAACATGTCCACAATGACAGTACCCTCCAGTACAAATGTTGTGCTTGAAATGTTTTGTGCCTGCCACTAAAATAGGTTTAGTTAAACTTTAACCTGTTTTCGGTCTTTAGTCATTTCCTGAACAAACTGCGTGGACATTAAATGCCTACATTTTAGGCTTTAGGGCATGTTCACACAATGCTTCACAGATCGGTTTCAACAGATATAACCTGACTTTTATCTCTGGTGATAGCATAGGAGGCTAGGGTGCCTGTTTCACCTTCTATTTTTTCTCCTTGTATTTCACTTGTAATTTCAGCATGTAATGACAGTTTAAATAGTGTGATTATTGTAATGGCCAAAATGAATATTATGTATTAATTTTGGTCATTACTTCATGTGACTAGTGACACATGTTCACTTGTTTGGTGTTTTTTTATCCACAAATAAAGATTTTTTTTGTGAAGTGACCAGATTTGGTCCAGTTTTATTGAACCAGACCAACAAGTTGCAACACTGGATTGGGGGATAACCCTCTCTGTAGAAAGCCCACATACAGTAATGCTTAACTTTGCTTTTAGGCTTACCCGTCACTAAAACCTCTGGCCTCATGGGTGTCAGACCTGCTTCAAAGGACCAGTTTCCTGCAGCAGTGGATCTCCAATGGCATTCCCCCTGTCTTTTGGATTAGTGGATTCTTCTTTCCCCAAGCCTTTCTCACTGGAACCCTTCAGAATTATGCCCGGCGATCAAGCACATCCATTGACACAATTGATTTTGATTTTGAGGTGAGGACCATTCGTAAGCCACAAAAAAGCCTCTAAACACTGATAGTGTTATACTGTGTTTCTATTTTGTCTCGCCCTTAAAGGTAATAACTACATCTGTGTCAGAGATAAAAGAGAAGCGAGACACAGGCTGTTATATTCATGGACTATTCCTGGAAGGGGCTCGTTGGGATCATGAGGAAGGCCGGCTGGCACAGTCCAGGCCCAAAGAGCTCTACACAGAAATGGCTGTCCTTGGGCTTATTCCAACAGCCAATCGGAATGCCCCGACCTCAAACATCTACGTGTGCCCTATCTACAAGACCCTCACTCGTGCTGGTGCGTACAAACAAATCAAAAAGGGGAATAATGCTGCCTTCATGTGCTATGGGAAATATGGTAAATACCACTTTGCGGAAAGTGGGAAAGTGGTCATTATAGTCCAGACCTCCAGAGCTCACTCTAACTGTGCATTTCAGTCACTAAAAATTCAGTTTACAAATTTGTGATTAAAATTTCAAAATGACATATTTGCCCATTTCACAGAGCAGCAGCCCCTCACTGATCCTCCTGCAGGTGGAGGGTCCACAGGAGCCTGCTCTGTCAGTGAATCTTGCACAACTTATGTTTTCATTTGCAGTTAAGATGTATCTAATCCACATCAAAGCAAAATATAACTTTAACTGACAGAACGGTTAACCTATATAGATATATCCATAGTAACAGAGATTCAAGATTCGAGAATTTAATTTGCCATTTGCAGTAAAACCACATTGGAAAAACTGTGCAAGACTACCCCAGTGTGCACCAAACACGGCACACACCAGGGCTCTTGCCACGGTGCCATTTTTCGGCGCCATGCGACAAACGGAGACATATCAACGAGAGATTCCAACTTCAATGAAGAGAGTTCACTTGCGTATGTGCAGACTAACTGACAGAGCACACAACTGGTCAGAGTGTCCAAAACTATTTTTACCGTGGGCTGCATATTGACAAACTGACAAAGCATTGGGCTTTTGGCTTTCGGGCCGTAGTTTGAACATGCCTGGCTTAGAGGTTGTAGTATTGACACAGACTGACTCAATAAAGTTGTTTGAGTGTAAAAAACAATGGTAATGTGTCCCTCACCAGAAAAGCTATAGCTTGCCCACGGTTTTCTAGTGCACTCCACTTTACCTCAGTTTTGGAGGCGGACCACTGCCAATCCAAGCACATTTTATAAAACAAATTTCCTGCACAGAGATAAAAGTAGCACATGTAATTATACAGGTTTTCCAGCATTACATGGTAGTATTTCCTGACATTTCTTGCCTCTTATGCACAAAGAGCAGATGTTCTGGTACGTTCTGGGAGAGTCTTAACCAGATAGAGTTGCTGTCGCCGCCATGTTTTATTTTATTACATCAAACGCACTAGAACAGAACACACTCGTAATGACCAGCGGAAAGTCTGGTACCCTCCCAGTGCACATGAAGGCAGCATAGCTCATTCAGCAGAGAAAAAACAGGAGGAAAAAGTGTAGTAGACTGTGATTGTATGCTGTACTCTGTTCAGTGAGTAGGTGCTGGCCTTGCGTATCGTCTTTGGTGGTTTTATAACTCACTCAAAATAGCCCTCAGTCAGTGTCCAGTTACACCAGGCTGCTCTGTATTTTCCACCGTCCACACCAGCACCCCGTCTGCAAGTTGAAATCATTTGACGGCAGGATCAGGAGGAATATGTGCTCGCAATGATGTTTTCTGTGATGTTTTCTGACTGCTTCCTCGTGTCTGTCTCAGGAACTTTATCGACAACGGGACATTCCACTAACTATGTGATGGCTGTTGAGCTGCCTACTGACCAGACTCAAAGGCACTGGATCAAAAAAGGGGTGGCCCTCGTCTGCGCGTTAGATTACTGAGCCTTTACTCAGACTATTTCCTTTCCCACCATTCATTTGTGTAATTAATAACTGATCCATTGTTTAAAAGTATAAATGTGAAATAACTTGGATTGATTGTTTGATTAAAAGCATGTACATACCATAGGTTCCGCAAGAGTAATTATTATTAGCAAGACATTACTATGAAATATATATTTAACTTTAATTTTATTTTGTGAGTGTTTTTTCTTTCTATAAACGGAACTTGTGAACATGTTTGTCACAACATAAAGTGAGAACAAGTGAACAAACCAAACCATAATATTGGTATCTTATTAGAAAACCTAGCTCTTGCTTCCATATCCATATCTACGGGCTGAGAGCTGATTGGCTGAGTGAGGGTGGTTCTTCTTTTTCCTCTGAATCCTCTAAATCTGATCTAAAAATTTGAATGTGAAAACTAGTGATAGAACAAAACTATTTTGAGAGCGAGGAACTAGTTATTACTTCGTTGTATCTGTTATGTTTGAAAGTTAGGTACCCCAGCTTTAATCAGGGGTCAATAAGTTCACACAGTCCCTTTTAATAGATATACCAAACATTTTGACTTTTTTTTTTAATCCAAGCTATTTTTATTGAATATTTTCTCCCACCTACAAATATATAATAATAAAATATAAGAACGAAAGATATTCTCTAAAGCTGAATACCGATCTGCTCCTTTAAGGCGGTCACCTTTATGTCCAGTTAAGAAGTTTGAGAGGGTGGCGCTTCTGCAAACAGACTTTGACCATGTGGAGAGCCGAGACAGTCTGTCAAACCGCGGAACTAACTTTCAAACACCAAAACCATCGCGTTTTCAATGATTTCACTTTATATCAGTTGCGAAGAATGGGAGACTTCATAACTGTGTAAGGAGTAACAAGTAAAAGGAGAAAACACACCTTTGGATCTAGCTACTGGACTCCCTCATCTGCTTTCATCTGGACCGGTGGAAATATGCTGCATAATGGGAAGGAAAAGCACAAAGCGGCGCAGGGAGCTAAAGTCGAGGCGGCAGAAGCGGAGTGTGGAGCCTCGAAAGGAGCCGCGGCGGCCGTAGTTGACACGCACTTCCCGATGCCCGCTTTTCCCAAAGTGGAGATAAAGCGCAACGCGGTCACGGACGATTACACGCTGTCCAAGAACGTACTGGGCCTGGGCATCAACGGGAAAGTCCTGGAGTGTCACTGCAAGAAGAGCGGACAGAAGTGCGCGCTGAAGGTGACACACGCTCTCAATCTGATCCCATTCTGATTTCATCCTAATTTTATTCTGATTTCATTCTGTTTAATTCTTATCTCATTCTGCTCTCATTCTGATCTACTGCTTTAAATGTTTGTTTCTGCTGATGTCAGGCTTTCTCTATATCTGATCATGAGACACACAAGAAAACTCCTTAATACCTAATAGAATAAGAACTACGGCATAATATTAACAGGTTGTCTTCATGTGGCATCACAGCATTCCAAAGAACCTATTGTTAAAAAAATAATAATAATAGAGGGAAGCTGAAAAAATCTTTTCTGGTAACTTTGAACAAAGTCAAACTTCTAGTCTTAGTTTGGAGCTAATTTCTCAAATTCCGGGTTTATGAATAGCATTTCTTTCTTGCACTCCAACTGATCATAAACTTATTACAAGAAGGCTAAAGTCCCATAAAGTGAATGCCTTTATGCATTATTCATTTAATTATCATTTAGAAGTTTTTATGAATAATGCACAACTTACACACTTTATAAGAAAGTAATCACATCAGTTAATGAGCACAGACAAAGAAGTTGTGTAACTTAGTAGCGGTTTTTGAGGACACAGATTTTAAAAGACATATTTGAATATATATTAATTTAAGAGGAGTTTAAATATAAGTAAGACATATATCAAACCTACCCCATGTTGTTGTTCAACAACATTTTTGTTATAATCTGACTTGAGATTAGGGTGCACTGTCGCTAACACATAAGAAGTACACACACGTTATAGTTACAGTTATGATAGTATCAAACACTTTTTGAGCACATGTGAACTGAGGCTGTATATGGCTCCAGTAGAAAGCAGAGTCTTTCTTCATCGTTCCTTGTGATGTGGTTCAATTTCAATCAATCAATCCTTTTTATGTGAGCCCTTTACAACACATTTTTGTATTCAAACAATAAAACGGTTCAAAAGCGTCTAAAAGAAAAAGAAAAGAAAAAGTAGGTTCTCAGTGGACTTCTTGACAGCTCATCTCCATAGTTCACCACGACAGCCCTCACAGCGATCTATCTGCCTGAGGACAGCAGCTCAGCCTGATGGTGTAGCCTGAAACTGAAAAATGAACTAGAATTACTCAAGTGTGACTTCCTCCTTTGTGAATGCAGAAGGTGGTGTGAAAACTGAAACCCTCTCACTTTTACTTTCACTTCTAAATATTATCTTCAATTCTGGGCATAACATGGATTATAGTAGATTTTATAGAAGTGATTTCCACACATTAATTGGACCTATAGAATATGTTATACCATATTTGGAACAAAACTCAACACTTGCTCAGGCCGGGCACAAAAAGTGACCAAAGCAAGTTCTGCTCAAAATGTTTTTTCTAAAGCAACTAATGTAAGTGACAGGTTTAATAGGTGGCACTCGTGCACTGGAATTCTATTTCAGTTGGAGGGCAAGTACCATTATAACTCTAAGGGAAAAATGCTTGTTTTCTAAGAGATGTTGAATAAAAAAAACTACCAAAAGTTTTTCCCAGATTATAATTTGAAAGTGATTCGAATCACAAACACTATATTGTCACCTTTATGAGAAAATAATTACACCATAGTTGATATGTGTTGATGAGTTTTTGTTGATTGGCCCAAGAATGAGAAATCAATGTAAACAAATTCTGACTTTTGGCAGTTACCATAGTTACCAGGACATATTTTCTACTGTATTAGTAGTATCTTTAAAAAAAACAAGGATTAACATTAGTCAGCACCCAGGGGAGACCCTGCTCATGCTTTTTGCGTGAGTGAGGGTGGTCCTGTCTTTTCCACTGAAAAAGCTGAGTTAGGAACAGGGCCTTTCTGAGTGGAGTTTGCATGTTCTCTCCGTGTCTGGTTTCCTCCAGGTGCTCCGGTTTCCCCTACCACTAAAAACATGTGTAATAGGTCTGAATGTAAATGAGAGAGTGAATGAATGGTGTTGGTTGGGGGCTGATGCGCCAGTGTGTTTGGCGACTCGCTTCTGTTATCTCCGTGTGTGGAAGGATTGGAACAAACTCTGTACAGGAACAAACATTGTAAAGCGCTTTGGGTGACCTTGGTCTGTAAAATGCGCTATATAAATAAACATTACTTACTTACTTGCTTACTTACTAAAGATGTGACAGAGGCCAAACACACATGCACCAGTCATAGAACCAAACAGATGATTTTATCACATACCGGTAGTTATTTCTTGTGGTTTCAAAGTTTAGGAGCTTTAGTCCATCTTTAAAGGTACTCTCTGTGTAATTTTTACTGTTGCTCCAAATGAAAAAAACATGTTGACGAATAACAGATGTGACCTTTCTAAGAATATTTACCGCCACCGTGTTTTTGAATTATTGTCATAGACTTAGAATTTGAATGTTTTTTTTTTCATATTTGATGTATTTTTTACATGTTTTTTGTTTAGTTTTACTGAGCGGCACTTTGGGCAGCATTTGTTGAATTGAATGTGCTATAGAAACATATTTGACATAGACATTGAATTATAAATGTAACTGAGGTTGTCAATGCGTCATCTTGGGACTAAGATTAAATCAGATATTCCTTTATGCGTCTCACAGTGGAGACATTTCAGTAAAGGGACTAAAAGGAAGAATTGCGTTTTTGTTTCACAAGCGCAACTAATATTGTTGCTTCCACTGTGGCCTCACAAGATTGATGTAGGAACATCCACTTTACTAAAATTTATGCAGACAACACAGATAACAACATAACACTCAACTTTGTTACTACTTACCCCATTCTTCTGTTCTGTCGGTATCCACACACAAACTTTATCATCTCATTAGAATTCAGCCATTCATCCACTCGTTTTCCACTAATCAAAGGTTTGATTCATTTAAAATAAAATTATTATCATATTATTATTCTCTGTTAATTTTTCATTTTTCTTCTTCTCTATTTATTTTTTGTATTTATTTTATCGTCGTCTTGTCTTGTTTGGGGTTTAACTTTTGTGTTTGGTTTTATGTTGTGTTCTTGTGTTTGTCTGTTTTGTTGCTAAAAAAAAGGTTTGATTGTTAATTGATCACTAACAGACCAGTTGATCAGAAACTCACATCTGTAATACAGAGACAGTAATGCAGACGTGGCAGTGTGATCAGTTTTAGGACTGTGCAGTGTGCAAACCCAACATAATTACAGTAATTGAATAGTCTGCCACTTGTGATATGATGCTACATTTTTGTATAATTATAGTAGATGGTTTTATTCCTCTTTCCTCAAAGCTCAGGATTTAAAGTAATATATTCAAATAAAGACATGTTAAAAAGCTCAATTTTCATGTTTAAGGAAGTCCACTCAGGGACGCAGGATTTTGGCAAAACAAGTTTTAAGGATTTTGATTTATGATGTAGTTATGTTTGTAGTATTCACATAAAACAGCTTCAGGAGTCTTACATTTACATGGATACATGAAGCGACGAGTTCTGATAAAACTCACACATTTTAGAAAAAAAGTTCCAAGAGCTATAAATTATAATTTAATTAACTTTTTCTGTCAGAAGTCATCATGTACCGTGATCATATTAATATGTGCTTGAATTAAATCATTTTAAAGTTTCATTTAAACTATTAAATAAAACATATACTCTCTCTTAAGATTTACCAATGAAAGCATGAAATGTACTCAAAATGTCATGATATAGCACAATGTTTTTCAACCAGTGTGCCTAAAGATGTTTGTTAGTGTGCCTTTGAAATAGTCTGATATCACCTGCTTGGTCAAAAATATGTGACTATAAAATAATGTGAGATAATTAGAAAGATTTGTTTGTGCGTGTTTGATTTCCTTTATAATACACATTGATGGGAATGACTTTTATTTGTCAGTAAAGGCTGTAGAATTTCAATTTTGTATGTAATTCAGATGGCAATGTGCCTTACTATTTTTTTGCAATGACAAAGGTGTGCCACGGCTCAAAAAGGTTGGGGACCACTGATATGGCGTAATAAATAGTGCTTTCCATGACTCCCAAAGACACTTCACATTATCCATTACTCTGAACTAAACTACTGCTGTAGCCACAGACTCAGACTAAATGTGAGGGAAGTGTTGTGCCCAAGGACACACCAACAGTTTGGCACAACAGCTACAGCTGCCCCACTGTAGCACTCTAGATTTGTATCTTCTCAAAAATGGCAAAAGATACAAATCTCTTCAGACAAAGTTCAAATGTACTACGACTAAAATGGGCCTAATTCAAGCTTATTATTTTTTATGTCTTGTTTTGTCTGAAATCGCAGTCTTGGAAGTGAATGAAAATGTGCTAATATCGACCACTAAATGTGATAAATCTTGCAGCTTTACTCTGATCACATTCAGCCTAAAATGGATATGAACCTTTTCATATTTGGAGCAGAGCATGACTCCAACATGACGGTTTGTGTTTGTTTTCTAAAGAGATTAGATTAGATTTAATGACCACCTGCTGTTTATGGTCTCACTGGTTAATGAAACCATCCGGACGATAAAGCCACTTTTGATAATAATTGATAAGTTCTGTGTAAACCTTTTGCTCAACAATAAAAGGGATAGTTTTATAGTGTAGAAGTAGACGGTCAGACGCGTTGCTGGTAATGTTTGCAAACATTTCCTGTCATCGAGATAATCATTTTATTGCAGCACTGTTTGCTTCACTGAGGCTGAGAAGACTTTTTATTCAAATGGATTATTAATTATGCTTCGTCATTGATGATAAAACATTTAATAAACACGTAAATGGCTTCACTTCCTGGAGGTGAGTCCTGAGGAATATGTGTGGAACTCAATGGACGATGAAACTTTTTCATTTGTTTTATGTAAAAATCAACTGTCCTTTTGTGAAGTGATGACAAACAGCCTTTACAGCCTTTATTTACTGTTATAAGTCTGATATTACCTCATGCACAGAGTACGAGATGAACCAACTGTCACTCTACAGTTATTCTGTTGTTACTAACTGGATCAACAGTCAGCTTGAAACAATTAGATCGATTTGTAATAAGTTATCTGATATTTAAGGAGAGAACAATACTCTCTGCAGTCCCTTCTCTGGTGTTAGTTACATATTGAAGCCAAAGTCATTGTTATCAGACGTAACAAACTGATGTAACTTGTAACTTTGTTGAGTGAAGTCACAAGAAAGGTTTAATGACAAGCTCTATAAATATCTAGATGAGCACAAACAAAAAGCGAGCCACTGGAACAGTTTAGAAATACACCTTTAACGCTCATTGCCACCTCCAGGTTCTCAAAGTCAAAAATGTATTTTTCTCATAGGCATGAAACAAATATGCTTTGGACGTTTCCCGAGCAGTTATATCAAAACTATTAAAACTTTAAAAATATAATTGTATCTTTTAGATTTGTTAATTACAAAAACAAACCATTTGTAGTCTACCATAACATACAAATCTTTATTTACCTCTGTCCGTTTTTTTTTTTTAAAGAAAAGAAAATTCTACCAGAAAAGAATATCCAAATCCATTAAAGTAATAATGTGGTTAAAATAATAATAATAATGAAAATAAACAAATGTTTTCTTTTAAAGATTTTTAATGCCAATGTCTATTAAAAAGATGTTGAGTTGATTGCCTCAAGCCTCTCATCTAAAATCACGGCTTCCTCAAAATCACACGTTTTCGACACAAAATGAACTAAACCTCAGTTGTGTGCATCGTGTTTCTGTAGTGTTGTGGTGTGTGTGGTGCTGGTGTGTTGCCTTTTCCCTCTCTGTCATAGAGAGTGAGTCACCAGGCCTTGACCCACAGCAGACCCTCCTTCATAACTGTCACGTCCCAAAATACAGAGTGACGATGGGTGTCAGGACGTGCCACCTGCCCCGGCTCATGTGACCGGCCTGTTCCCAGACACACACACGCTGAAAACTGTTTATTGGGCCTTTAGGGAACTTAAGAGGCTTTTTGTAAATGATTCTATTTTAATCTGTTGCAAAAGTACAACAATTCTGGGAGAGAATCTCAAGGGAAGATAGCTGTCTGTCGAAGCAATGAATTAACTTCAAGAAGAAATATTTTGCATTATACTTGTCTATTAAAATGATGAGACTTTTTACTTATTTATGGTGAAACAATTATTAACAATGTAGCGGCACGGTGGCTGAGTGGATAGCACTCTCGCTTCTCAGCAAGAAGCTCCTGGGTTCGAATTCCAGTCGAAGCAGGGCCTTTCTGAGTGGAGAATGCATGTTCTCCCCGTGTCTGTGTAGGTTTCCTCCGGTTTCCCCTAAAACTAAACATGTACATTAGGTCTGACATGTGCCTCCTGTACTGGTGACCCCGCTCCCTTCTCTCTGTGGAGTGAGAGACAAATGCCCACAATTGTAAATTGCTTTATGGTATATAATTAAAGATTACTTACTTACTTAACTCCCGGTGCTACAACTAGTCGACTAACAGTGTATTTTTCTGCAGAGACTATGATATTGACAAAATGATTCTACATTTAATGCCAATTAAAGGGATTGCATACATGGTACCTCAGCTTGTGCTAACGGTCTTTGCCTTCAGATCAGCTCCAGACGCCCACAGAACTTGATTCTGACCATTGCCACTATATCGCAGTCTTCTGACCTGTACTGTCCTCTTCATTTCTCCAGAGACTTCACAGGGACAGGAGCAGCCTCACATTTGTATCACACCCTTTAATGGTTTCTCAACCATTTGATAGATCTTTGAGTCACTATCTACTTTAAGCCTTGAACTAAAATCAACTTCTTTTGGGCATTTCACTTGGTTTTAGGCCCATTTTACCATCAAACTGCATCTCCACCATTTGTTAAAGGCCTATAAAATAAAAACTAGGGGTTCAAAAATAAAATAAAAACATAAATTATTTGTGTTAATAATGATCCTACATCTTCAAAAATCAAAAAGGTAAAAATGACATTGCCATCAATAAAGCGTTTAACTCATAGCAATAATTCTTAGTAAAATAGTACGTATAGTAAACAATGTTCATCTTTTTACCTGGAAATATAACATAAATAAATATATAAATAATACATATCTGTGTTAGATCCTGTACGACAGTCCCAAGGCCAGGCGTGAGCTGGAGCTGCACTGCAGGGTGTCTGGGGGTCCTTACATCGTGCGCATCCTCAACCTGTACGAAAACATGCACCACGGGAAGAAGTGCCTGCTCATCGTCATGGAGTGGTATGTTCTACGTCAAAACTACACTAACAACACTAACAAACTACTCAAGTCAACCAAAAGTGTTCAACAATAGTTATAGTGTAATGTAATTTAAGCCATATACAGGTAATAATCACTGGTATCAATATCATTGTCAAACAGCCAGAAGGTTTTGTGTCATGATCAAGTGTTAAATGGAAATCAGTTTCTCCAGGGACATTGGAGAAGGGCCCGGACCGCCAACAGTTAACTCCAATAATTATAATGAAATTTTGGCCTTAAGCCTTTTATCAAGCTCTACCCTATGCTGATTTGGGAGCTCTGGAACTGTAGCTCCAAGGCCCGCCATAAAAAAAAAAAAAAAAACACTCACCATTCGCCCTCCCCGGGCTGTTATCCCTCTCTAAGCTCGGGTCCTCTACCAGAGGCCTGGGAGCTTGAGGGTTCTGCGCAGTATCTTTGCTGTTCCTAGCACTGTACATTTCTGGACCGAGATGTCCGAGGTTGTTCCAGGGATCCGCTGTAACCACTCTTCTAGCTTCGGGGTCACTGCCCCGAGTGCACCGATCACCACGGGCACTACTGTCACCTTTACCCTCCAGGCCCTCTCCAGCTCCTCTCTGAGACCTTGGTATTTCTCAAGCTTTTCATGTTCTTTTTTCCGGATGTTACCATCGCTTGGAATTGCCACGTCCACCACCACGGCTGTCCTCTGCCCTTTGTCCACCACCACTATGTCAGGTTGGTTCGCCATTACCATTCGGTCGGTCTGTATCTGGAAGTCCCACAGGATCTTCGCACGCTCATTCTCCACCACCTTTGGAGGAGTTTCCCACTTAGACCTTGGTGTTTCCAGCCCATACTCTGCACAGATGTTTCTGTACACTATGCCAGCCACTTGGTTATGGCGTTCCATGTAGGCCTTCCCTGCCAGCATCTTGCACCCTGCAGTTATGTGTTGGATCGTCTCAGGTGCCTCTTTGCACAACCGACACCTTGGGTCTTGTCTGGTGTGGTATATCTGGGCCTCTATCGCTCTGGTGCTCAGTGCCTGCTCCTGTGCAGCCATGATGAGTGCCTCTGTGCTGTCCTGTAGGCCAGCCCTTTCTAGCCATTGGTAGGACTTCTTGAGATCAGCCACTTCTGTTATGCTCCGGTGGTACATGCCGTGTAGGGGCTTGTTCTCCCATGATGGGCTCTCCTCCAGCACCTCCTCATCTATATGTCTATATACATGTAGATATATATATATTTTTTCATATATATATAAATATATATATATATATATATATATATATATATATATATATATATATATATATATATATATATATATATAGGGGGCCTTTGAGCTACATTTTTGGACAACTATTGCTTAACATAGTAAGCAGAAGTAAGGTATGCAACTAACTTTTCTCAGTTCCTCCCGCAAACGTCATTCTGAACGGAAAAGAATGGAGGATGAGGCAGGGTTCTGTTGTGAAATGAATCATAGAGCCCACTCTTTATGTCATGTCAACCTTGAAACCAACGGATAAAGTTTTAACATTTAACTGGTTCTACAGTACTCACATACATACAATACATATTATAAGGATGACAGGTTAAGATTAAGATATGCATTATTTGACGCATCCTTTAATGCAACCAGGGACATGTCCAGATGTTAATGCTCAGTCAGAGGATTTCACCGATGGCACTTGTTTAAAAGAAGACAGCTGCGACAGCAAAGGCAGTCAACCTTTTCTCTTAAGCTGCACCGTGTGTTCAGGAAACAAGGTCCAGTCCCAGTTTTCAAACAGGTCTCTTGTTCCTACAATATTGTATACTTTCATTGATCCATATGAATAGATTCAGATATCAGCTGTTGGTTCAAAAAACATATTTTTGTTCTGTTAAAACCTTTAATGTTGCAGGAGATAATGCATTTTCCTGGTTTGGACTAATGTCATAATGTGACCCTGGTGTGTGCAGAGGGCCACTTCCTGACTGTAGCCTTTAGCACATTTACTGTTGGGAGGGCGTCTCAGGAGGATGTCTGAAAGCTCGTAAAGTGTGTGGGAGGCACAGAAACACATTTGGAAAGTCTGACTCGCACAGTTAGGATCCCAGGGACAGGGACGTACCTGTATTGTAACGTTGTGTAGATTTTGTTCTTTCTTAGTTTAGCATCTATTTATCATCTACTTTATCTATCGCTTCAGAAGTGCAGAGGATTAGTTTGGTTTAAACAGTCATATCACATATGACTGTTTATTTGTACCTGGTTTCATTTATTGTGTGGGACAATTCTTTGTGAATGTTGTTATACAAAGGCATTAACCCAAAACACATTTGCAACCAGAATGAGAGACTCATTCTGCCCCATTCTGTGTGGATAATCTGCTATAACATTTGTGGATTATGGACCTCATGTGCATTGTGTGGAATACTCCACTTTAAACTTTTATTCAGAAAAGGTTAATATATCTGTACATGTTGACCTGTTATCTGGGAACACAAAAGGTAGATGTCATGTAAAATGCAAATATTACAAATATGACTGTTCATTTCAATTACCATTGACTAAAAACAATACTAAACAAGACAATCAATTTGGCCTTTATTAAAATAATGTTAAGATGTGAGGTTTGACATCAATGTGTGTTTTAATAAATGAAGCTTAAAAAACAATCCACTTCCACCAAAGGAGTTCCCTATTGTAGTTATTTCATTAGTTCTTATGATGTCCTATAGCTCCATCCAAAGCACATAGGAACCAGCACAAATTACAAAACCTTCATAGATTATACAACTGTGTGTGTGTGTGTGTGTGTGTGTGTGTGTGTGTGTGTGTGTGTGTGTGTGTGTGTGTGTGTGTGTGTGTGTGTGTGTGTGTGTGTGTGTGTGTGTGTGTGTGTGTGTGTGTGTGTGTGTGTGTGTGTGTGTGTGTGTGTGTGTGTGTGTGTGTGTGTGTGTGTGTCTCAGTATGGAGGGGGGAGAGCTGTTCAGTAGGATCCAGGCCAGAGGAGACCAGGCCTTCACAGAGAAAGGTACGAACCAATTATATTCACCAAGAAATCCCTTTTGTATTCGTACATTGATTTGAGCAGTGACCACTTTTGTATTCTTCCCAGAGGCTTCTGAGATCATGAGGGACATTGGCACAGCAATCCACTATTTGCACAGTATGAACATTGCACACAGAGACATCAAAGTAAGGAGTTGGTAGAAATGATGATGATGATGACGACGAAGCCTGTGGATCACTTATTCACTCTTTCTGTTTTTCTGCAGCCTGAAAATCTCCTATACACTTGTAAAGAAAAGAAGGGAGTCCTGAAACTTACAGACTTTGGGTTTGCAAAAGAAACAACACTACACAACCAGCTCCAGACGCCCTGTTACACTCCCTACTATGTCGGTAGGTGTGATAGAAAAGTATAAAAATGCAAATGAGGAAACAGCCTTACGTTCTCAAAACATTTTGTTTGTTTGTGTAACAACATTTATAGACATTTATCAACATTTATGGACATTGGTCATCTGCCTCTTATGGACGTGCCTGGTCTTACCAAACCATATCGTACTCATTTCAGTTGGGAAATGTTAATTGACCAGAGTTTATGCCAGGCTACTTACGGATTAATACAAATGTGTTTTCTATCATTGCATTTGTTGTGTTTGAATGGTTTGATTCTCTGATCGGTGTTGGCGAATTCAACGGTCGCGTAAAGTCCTCTGAGATTACTACTGATGTGATTTAGGGCTATTGAACTGAAATGTAAAGTTAATTGAATTATTGAGCGCTTTGTGACTCTGATCTATGAAAGGCGCTGTATATATAAAGATTACGTACTTACTTAATCGAATAGTTTCAACTAATATTTATTGAACAATACGGTATTATAGTAAAAGCAAGAAGAAGGTCCTTTATTCGTCCCACAGTGGTGTAATTTCAGTTTGATGAATACACATACAGTATCAAGGCATGCAGCAAACATTACTTCCGCACTCCTTGTAGGCAAAGTGGGTTACGTGTCTTGCCCAAGGACACAACGGCAGCAAACATCAGTGGAGTCGGTGAAGAAGGTCTCGTGGTGGGCTTGAGCCAACAACCTTCAGGCTCAATGGCCGATGCTCTACTAACTGAGCCACTGTAATTATAGTTGTAGGACTACATACATGACCTTCTCATGTAAATATCACCTTCTTTCTCTGACAGGTTTACTTTTCCATTTAGAGAAATTTAGAGAAACGAGAGAATTGTATAACTACTTTGTTAGACCCGCCCACCCTCACCCCCTCTGCTTCGAGATCGGACCAAATTAATTCAACTCTTTGATTGATAGGCGAGTCTCTTTCCCATTGGTTTTACTCTGCAGAATCTTGCTGGTGGTGGTAAAACATGGAGGGACTAAATATGCATGAGCCAGATAAGGTCTGCGTGTCTTAAAAGTCTTCAGTGCAGTCAGTTAGTCAAAATAAATGTGCATTATTTCAAGATTCAAAACAATAAGATAAGATCCTTTAATCCTCCTGCAGTGGGGAAATTTCAATGTTTGCAGCGCACATGCAGAACAGTAGTAAGAGCACACAAAATGAATTATAAGTAGCTGTATGTTTCTTAGCTAGCTGTAAATAATTCAATATCAATAAATCCATGTATCTCTATCTATCTACACATATATAGTGCAAAGTTATATACATAGAGCAAGATAAATATAGATAAAGTCATAATTGCACATGATTTCAGCATTTACTACAGATGACTGACCTTTACAACCTGTTCTTTGTAAATGACAGAGAATAATATTTGTAAGCTTGTTTATGTTTTTCCTCCCAGCCCCAGTACTACCAGTATTTACTACATGTATTATCTGCAAACAGAAATGAAACCCCATACGGTTGAGTGCATGTGTAAGAGCCGTGTGAGCTGGGCTGATATCTGCCTTGTGTCTCAGCTCCAGAGGTTTTAGGTCCAGAGAAGTACGACAAGTCCTGTGACATGTGGTCTCTGGGGGTCATCATGTACATCCTGTGAGTGCATCGTCACCTGAAACAGTATCGTTCGTACCTGGGCTGTTGATTTCACAAACACATATCTTTTCCCAGACTCTGCGGCTTCCCACCTTTTTACTCCAACACCGGCCAAGCAATCTCTCCAGGAATGAAGCGCCGCATCAGGATGGGCCAGTACGAGTTCCCCAAGCCGGAGTGGGCCGACGTGTCCCAGGAGGGTGAGGGGCCCTAGCAAAAGTACATCGAATATAGTCAAGATAAGATAAGATAAGATGTTACTGATCTCACAATGGGGAAATGTACATGTCACATTTGGAATAAGTAGTCAGAAAAGTAACAAAGTAATAGAGCATTTTTACGTTCTGAGAGCAGCTTTCTCTTTTTATGTCTCCTCTACATTTTTTCTAATTTCTTTTAGATTAAAAATAGGTTTGTGATATCCATGTCAAACTCAGAAAATTAGAATCTTGTTCAAAAGCCCCAGGAACGACCCAAAGAATAGAACATATTTGGGACACAGAGACAAAGAAACATATATAGGGCCATCCACATCCGATACCGTCATCCTAACTGAAGAATAAAACAAAACTCAGCTAGCTAAACCCACACAGGTGACGTATGTAACCACCGGACCCACCAGATTAAACACAAATAAGACCAGGAAAAAAGGCCCTCTGCTCAAACTGCTAAACTAATGTATATATGTTTCTTCTTTTTTATTGTACAGCACAATGAATAAACAGGTGGAGTGAGAGGCTGAGAGCAGAGAGGACAGTGCTTCTTATACTCACGCCCCGTCCTGCAAAATATACAAAAAAACTGATTACACTCAAATACTCATGACAAAAAGGACAGATAAAATAAACAAGTCGAGTCCAGTTATTATAGAATGGCATGATGATGACTTTGGACAGTTGGTTCCTACTACAGCCACTTCATCAAACACACTTGAATATAAGCCTCAGATTGTGAAGTTGTAATGAACGCTAAACCAACAGCCGATGGTTTAGTGTTCATTAAGTTACAACATGGTTTAATGATGAGGAGTTTGAACGCACTGTTGACTCGTGAGGATTGCAGCACTCTATAGTTGGACAATAAGTACTTGATGGAGTCAAAATAATACGTCCATAAACGCTCTGACTGTAGCCCTAATCCCATTTAAACAAGTCCTGTCCTGCTATGTTTCTCCCGGCATTTTGTTGTATCAGCTCTCTCCACTGTCTCATCTCCAAATCCCTCCATTCACCCAGGGCGCGCTACTCCTTTGTATAATGTATGTTTAAGACAAAAGTGTAATTAGAAGAATTGATAGATTTTTCCAAGCCCAAACATAAACAAAGAGATTATTAACTTTCTACATTTATTTAACATATTAATAAATGCTTTGATTTACATCTGTAATCCATTTTCTTCATGCAGCTAAAGACTTGATCAACCAGCTTCTGAAAACTGACCCCAACGAGAGAATGACCATCACACAGTTCACAAACCATCCATGGATCAATGTAAAAGCTCCACCCTCCTGAACATGTTGTTGGCTGTAGGCAATGTATTTGTGTTGACTTGTATATTTTCTTGCAGCAGTCCATGGTGGTCCCGTCCACTCCGCTGCACACCACCAGAGTCCTGACTGAAGACAAGGAGATGTGGGAAGATGTGAAGGTCAGTACCGCCCTGACCCCTGCTGGACTTTTGTGGCTGTTGCAGCTTTTCCTCACGTTCAGATATAATCTATCGAGCTCTGATTAAAGTCAACAGAGAAATGAGAGGATTAGAGTGAAGAAGCAGTTCCCTTTGATAACTTCTATTATTATTAAATGAGTCTATTCTGAGTGAACACACTGCAAACCCTCACTTGGCACCAAGAAGGCAAAGTGTGTATTGTACTATAAATATTCATTATTTTACTTGATCTGTCTTCAAGTGCCAAATTGCAGTCAGAAGGATCCTTAACTAAATGAATATCGTACAACCTTCTCAACAACACTTGTACAGAAGTGCTTAACCATTGACAATGGTTCCACAACAGGAAAGAACTTTAAGTAATGCATGCCATTTCAGTCATCGTTTGTGATCTGTGGAGGCTAAGTATGTTTAGTCCTGAGAGTTTGTTGAAAATGTCTTTGAAATCAGCTGTAAACTGAAGAATGCAGTCCAAAGAAAGTCAGACCTAATGTTTGGCTGTGATATAACTATTCTATTCTATTTGACTTTGATGCACCATGTGTGTGTACTGTACAGTATTCCATAATGATACAATATTCTCTTATCCCTGGGCTATGGGCACAGTAAAGTATGTATGTAACAACCATAGACTGAAGTTCTATGCTCATGCAGTATTCAGAGCAGCCACCAGGGGGAGACACGCACATAATGGCTCCAGTGGCTGGAGTTAGGGCCACGGTCCTATTTACAGTTAAAACAACATTGTGCAGATGTCATCATAAGTCACTGCTGGTTGACCTCAGGTTTCTCCAATCAGCAAACACCTCCTGCACTGCCCGAACAGGTGAATAGGAAACATTCCTTCACTTGTCACATTTGATATGAATAGAAAGCAGTCTGCAGAACCACGCTGGCACAATAGTTTGAGAAACACGTTTGCGATTTAGAAATGGAAAGTTGAGAAAGTCACAGCCAACATCCTGTTTGCAACATTGTCCTAAATTCTCTCAGAGTCGGTAATTGCTATTATAGACAAAGCAAATGTAGAAGAAATAATACAAATAAAACCAACTGTCTTTTTATAGGAAGAAATGACCAGTGCTTTAGCAACAATGCGAGTGGACTACGACCAGGTGAAAATCAAGGATTTAGATACATCAAGCAATCCACTGTTAAACAAAAGACGCAAAAAAGCCGCCGCAGGAGGAAAGAGTGGCTCCAGCGTCTGTCAGAGTCAGTAGACGTTACTGGCCCCTGCAGAAGACACTATGGACAAGTCTGTGGAGACGTCTGTCTAAACTTTGAATTGCATTATTTGTATGTTGCTTCTTTGTTTTTAAGTTCCTTTTTTCTTTCCCTGTGTAACTGTGTGAAGATATTTTCTATGTTATAAATTAGAAACAAGCAAAAAGGATCATTGTGGATAAAAGCTCATGTTGTCTTAATACTGTTGATGTTTTGTTGAAGAGATGGCCTTCCTCATTAAAGTCTAACTTGTGTTAAGTTAGCTTTTTTACTTTTTCAACAGTTTATTTCCCTCCCACATTACGATAAGTACATGGACACATTCCATTTACAAACAGTAAATAACCTTTAAAGGTTTTCATAAAGAATTAGAAATGTCATAGCACCTGATTGATTGCATTTTTATTGTGAAAAGTCAAAAGTCTCCTTATTTCTGTATTTCAACTTACAATGTGAAAGTAATATCAGTGACTTGTTACATTTGTTTTTTTGTTAGTTCTAATGTTAGTAAGAATTTGAATGCCACTTGTGATGAGTCTGCATCATACTGTATATTGGTTTCACAGTTTAAGTTGAATTACAGAATTATTCTAGTTATTCTTTTACAAATTTCACCTTTAAATTTATACAAAGGTAAACTACAGTTGAAAACATCTCAATTATCATGTTTGCTCAACAGTAATTGTAAGTAAGTAAACTTTATTTATATAGCGCCCTTCACAGTCCAGGGTCACAAAGCGCTTCACATAGTGTAAAAACAGACATATTATAAAATAGACATACACATTTTTAAAGGCCAAGACAACCAGGTAAAAACAGCAAGACAAAATTACGCAAAAGCCTGAACAAATAAATGGGTTTTCAGTTGACTTTTGAAGCACTCTACAGACTCTACAGAACTCAGAGAGAGCGGGAGAACGTTCCAAAGCTTGGGAGCAACAGCCTGGAAGGACCGGTCTCCTCTGGTCTTGAAGCGAGTGCGTGGAACCATCAGGAGGTTCTGCTCCACAGACCTCAGAGCCCTGGCTGGGATGTAAGGCTGGATCAGGTCACTGATGTAAGACTGACAGTGCAAAGCTCTGAAAGTTAAAACCAGAATTTTAAAATGTATCCTGTAGGACACTGGCAGCCAATGAAGAGCTTTCAGGACAGGGGTGATGTGCGACCTCCTGCTGGTGCTGGTCAGGATTCTCGCGGCAGAGTTCTGCACTAACTGCAGGCGAGACAGTTCTTTCTTATTTAAACATGAAAACAGACCGTTACAATAGTCTAAACGCGAAGACACAAATGCATGAATGATTACCTCCAAATCATTCTGTGAAACCATTTTCCTGACTTTGGAGATTCTCCTCAGCTGAAAAAAGCAGTTTCTGGTCAGCTGTTTACAGTGTTGCACTAAGGACATGTCCTTATCGAATATAACACCTAGGTTTCTGAGGCTCAGTTTATCTGACTGGCCTAATCACCTAATCACCTAAGCACTGGTTTATCCCTGGAATGTGGTCATCAGGGGCAATCACCAGTGTTTCTGTTTTGTCAGCGTTGAGCTGCAAAGTGTTGACACTCAGCCAATGTTTTATCTCAACCAAGCAAAGGACTAGTAAGGAGTTAAGCCTCTGGAGCTCGGTAGGCTTGAAAGAGCAGTATAGCTGGATACCATCAGCAAAAATGTGAAACGCGATGCCTGGAAATTTCCGGACAATCTTTCCCAAAGGGGTCAAATACGACCCAAAACGGAACCTTGGGGGACACCACACAACAAATCTGCTGACTCAGAACATATCTGGTTTGTTGTGACACTAAAACTGCATCCAGATGAGTATGAAGAAAACCATTGAAGCACTGTCCCCGATAGTTCCACTCCATCCCTCAGTCTTCGCAGGAGGATCTGGTGGTCGACGGTGTCAAACTCCGCGGACAGATCCAGGAGAACCAGAACAGTGCACTCTCCAGAATCCATGATGATATAATCTTGTGTTTCTATTGTAAGTGCTACTGTAATGTGATTAGATCAGAAAGCCCCACTGTGGCACCTGGTGCTTCCAGAGGTCTCCCATCACAATACTAACCAGGCGGTCTACCCTGCTTAGCTTCCGAGGGCTCACAGGATGTGTACACATGCAGGTATGGCCACATAAACATCTATATGAACCATCCTTCACGCTCACAGTCTTGAAAATCTTGCCCTCAGCCCAGAAACCACTTCCTGATATTGTGAAAGCACTTACAGTGCCTTGCGAAAGTATTCGGCCCCCTTGAACCTTTCAACATTTTGCCACATTTCAGGCTTCAAACATAAAGATATAAAAATTAAATTTTTTGTCAAGAATCACCAACAAGTGGGACACAATCGTGAAGTGGAACAACATTTATTGGATAATTTAAACTTTTTTAACAAATAAAAAACTGAAAAGTGGGGCGTGCAATATTATTCAGCCCCCTTGCGCTAATAGCAAGTCGCTTGGGGTATGTCTCTATCAGTTTTGCACATCGAGAGACTGGAATTCTTTCCCATTCTTCCTTGCAAAACAGCTCGAGCTCAGTGAGGTTGGATGGAGAGCGTTTGTGAACAGCAGTCTTCAGCTCTTTCCACAGGTTCTGGATTGGATTCAGGTCTGGACTTTGACTTGGCCATTCTAACACCTGGATACGTCTATTTGTGAACCATTCCATTGTAGATTTGGCTTTATGTTTTGGATCATTGTCCTGATGGAAGATAAATCTCCGTCCCAGTCTCAGGTCTTTTGCAGACTCCAACAGGTTTTCTTCCAGAATGGTCCTGTATTTGGCTCCATCCATCTTCCCATCAATTTTAGCCATCTTCCCTGTCCCTGCTGAAGAAAAGCAGGCCCAAACCATGATGCTGCCACCACCATGTTTGACAGTGGGGATGGTGTGTTCAGGGTGATGAGCTGTGTTGCTTTTACGCCAAACATATCGTTTTGCATTGTGGCCAAAAAGTTCGATTTTGGTTTCATCTGACCAGAGCACCTTCTTCCACATGTTTGGTGTGTCTCCCAGGTGGCTTGTGGCAAACTTTAAACGAGACTTTTTATGGATATCTTTGAGAAATGGCTTTCTTCTTGCCACTCTTCCATAAAGGCCAGATTTGTGCAGTGCACGACTGATTGTTGTCCTATGGACAGACTCTCCCACCTCAGCTGTAGTTATCTGCAGTTCATCCAGAGTGATCATGGGCCTCTTGGCTGCATCTCTGATCAGTCTTCTCCTTGTTTGAGATGAAAGTTTGGAGGGACGGCCGGGTCTTGGTAGATTTGCAGTGGTCTGATACTCCTTCCATTTAAATATAATTGCTTGCACAGTGCTCCTTGAGATGTTTAAAGCTTGAGAAATCTTTTTGTATCCAAATCCGGCTTTAAACTTCTCCACAACAGTATCTCGGACCTGCCTGGTGTGTTCCTTTGTCTTCATGGTTCTCTCTGCGCTTTAAACAGAACCCTGAGACTATCAAAGAGCAGGTGCATTTATACGGAGACTTGATTACACACAGGTGCATTCTATTTATCATCATCAGTCATTTAGGACAACATTGGATCATTCAAAGATCCTCACTGAACTTCTGGAGTGAGTTTGCTGCACTGAAAGTAAAGGGGCCGAATAATATTGCACGCCCCACTTTTCAGTTTTTTATTTGTTAAAAATGTTTAAATTATCCAATAAATTTCATTCCACTTCACGATTGTGTCCCACTTGTTGTTGATTCATGACAAAAAATTAATTTTTTATATCTTTATGTTTGAAGCCTGAAATGTGGCGAAATGTTGAAAGGTTCAAGGGGGGTGAATACTTTCGCAAGGCACTGTATTTTTTTATCAGGTCGTATGTTTCCAGGAAACACTGCACAACTATAGAGTCACACAGGTATAGTTTATTTGCATTAAATAAACTCTCTGTGTGAAGGAGAGGTTCCGTAGGTCTTTCCTTCCTGCTGCTGTCAGACTGTACAATAAGAACTGCTGATCCTGTAAATTTCATTCATCTGTAATTAAGTAAATTCTTAAATCATGTGCAATGTGCAATACTGCAACTTCAGAATGTCACAGAACAATGTCACTTTACCTCATGTCACTTTACTTATATACTTTTTATCCTGCACTATTTAACTGTACAGTATATAACTGCACTACTACATATATATATTTTGACTGGTATCGAAGCATTTTCAGCATCTACAGCTAGTTATGTTAGCTAAGAAACATAGCTACTACTTATTTGTATATATTGTGTGTGCTCCCTGTGTGCTCTTACTACTGTCCTATATGTGCGATGCAACATCAAAATTTCCCCACTGTGGGACGAATAAAGGAATTCTTATCTTATCTTATCTTATCTTAAATCTGCATGTACATACTGAAGAAAGATGCAGGCTGGTTATTAGAAATGATATCATAGTAAATGCTTTTGTACAAATGACAGCGCCTTGAAAAAGTCTTTCCACATTCTGTCTTGTTACAACCACAAACACAAGTGTTTTATTGCCATTTTACGTGAACAAACACCACAAAGCGGCAGACAATATTGTAGTGAAAGCAAATGATACAGGACATCATTGTATTGTTTTCTATAAGTGGGGCTTTCAAAAATAATCAACCGCTTTTCTGTATTTATTTGATACAGGGACAATACAGTCACAGCAGAAGATGCAGCACATACAGATGCTCACTCTCAAGTCCTGTCCCTGGTTTAATTTCCAACACATATAGCACATAAATGATGGAAAAAAACATAAAACACAAACATAAAACACAAACCTTAAACACGTTATTTCCAACAGTGCTCCAACAGCTAGACGTTCCCACAGACACACATGCACACTGTCTATAATAGTACATTTCTTTGAGTCCCATTATTTGCCTTTGGAAGTTGTCATGAGAAGATTTTTCTCATTAGTCTGTACGTATCATGCTCTGGGGCTGCTTTTCTTCCGCAGGAACAGGAAGCAGTTGATGCGGAAGGGGGGTGTCTGGAAAAACCT